GCTCGATTTAGGAAACGGGGGTCTATGCATAGGCGAATATCTCCGTTCGGTTTATCCACTATCACAGGATTTGAGACCCAGTCAGTTGGCTCAGTGATGTGAGAAATGACGCCTAGCGTCTCGAGATCGTCCAGTTTTTTCTTAAGTTTCTCACGCACGTGCACTCTCACTCTGCGGGGAGCTTCCACTACCGGGATAGCGGACGGATCTGTCACAATTTCATAGTTGTCCGCCACTAGTCCCACGCTACTTTTGTCAAACACGTCATGATACTCAGCTTTGATGCGCGACTGACCGTCATTCACACACCCCGACCGCGGTGGCACGGGCGAGGGACGAGCTCTGGGAGGGCCGTGACCCGGTTCAGTAGCGAGGTCACCCCCTGGGGTCACGGCCGGCGGGGGCGGGGCAGGGACATAGTCCAGTGGGTCACAGTCGCGGACGTCAATCAGGCCCAGCTGGACTGACGTGTTCAGGCTCAGTATGGAAGAGATAGCACTGTTCACAACTTTACACTGAAGGATGTGCCTACTCCGAGACACGGGATTAGTAAAGCACAGGGACCGTTTCCCCTCACATGACACGAGAGCGCCGTCATACATGCGCAGAACGGTATGGCACGGTCTCAAACATGCGCCCTGTGGATCGTCAGTGATACGCACGTAGTCTGTCCATGTCAACACGTCACACTCGGAGCCGGAATCTATCAAAAACGTTACCGATTTTCCCGAGGCGGTCAAAGTTTTGTGTGCTTTTGTGGGTGTCTCACCGGAATGGCCCGCTGTCGACAAAACGTCCCAGTGCTCATGTGCACCTGACGCGCCGGGAGGCGGGTCGCGGCGCTGGCCGGCTGGCGGAGTCGCAGTCAGCTGATCGCGGCCGGCGGCGGCGGCGCCGGCGGCGCCCACGGTGGCGGCGAGAGACGGCGGCCGGGCCGCTGGCTGGCGAACTGGTCCGCGCCCGCCAGAGCCGGGCGGGGGACGCCGGGAGCCGCAGATAGTACTGCATGCGAAATGGTTGGCCTGCCCGCAGGCGAGGCAGGCTTTGCCCCATGCAGGGCAGCGAGACCGAACCATTGGGTGATCACGGCCGCAGAACTTGCACTTGCGGGTCGGTTGGGACCGGTTGTGTCCAGAGACGGCGGCCAAGTTGTCTGTTTGCTCACTGTGGGACTCAGTTCCGAACACCTTGAGATCACGATTGGCGGCTTCTTCGGATAGCGCTATGTCGATTGCCATCTGAAGGGTCAAATCAGCTCGCTTCAGCAGCGCTGCTTGTATTTTCTGGTCACGGAGGCCGATGCACAGTCTATCTCGCAGCATGTTGTCCCCGTCTGGGAAAGCACACGTTGCTGCCAGAGATCGAAGGGCCGATAGATATTGGCTGACCGACTCGTCTGGCAGTGGCTTCTGACCGCGAGTGTAGAAATTGTACCGTTCACGGACAACATTCTGGCGGGGCACACAGAACGCCTCGAAGCGTGACACTAGCTCATCCAACCCTTGTTCTGCAGACCATCCAGAGAAATGAGAGGCGACTTCTTGTGCTTCGCCACCAGCACAGTTGAGAAAAACGGCCACTTGGACGGCCTGGGGCTTGCCAGCGAGTTCGACAGCCACAGCGTAATTCTCCCATTCACGCCGCCAGGTCCGCCATCTTGTCGCTAATTGCGGTGATGAAATCTCGAGCTCTGCCGGTGGGCGAAGATTCGACAGCATTGTCGGCACCTTTGTGTTACGTTAACTTCTGACACCATGTAACGTTCTTAAGATATCAGATAACGCAAGACGAGGATATGTATTCAGTAATGTCAGACCTTCTACAGCACTGACCAACCCTAGCTCGGGTGTCTAACTCTACAACCGGTTATGCTACAACCCTCCGGCTGCCGCGCCCTCACTTGCCGTCAACCACGAGTTCGCTTTTCTGCCGTTAGATGACAGCACGTCTCAGAACACTACAAATTACAATACGCCACACCGCCGTTTCCCGTTAAAATGTTAAATGGCCGTTAACTCGTTAACGGTGCAAAATACCACCCCAAAGAGGTACATTTTCGGAATCAGCGCATCGAGGAGGCCCTGTATACCGATTTTCAGCCAAATCGAAAGACCCCGAAATATGCTGCTGTGAGGCTGATATTCGTTGCTGCTGAATTGATAGACGTGTACATTATTCCACTGCCAAACAAGTAGGACGCCGGTGAAAACAGGGCGCCGGAGGGCATATTAGTCACGTGACATTTGGAGCTTCTCCCCCTCCATGGGCCTTCTACATGCCAAACGTCACGTGTAAATTTCACGAACCTTGATTAAATCGCCCCAGGCGCCCTGTTTTCACCGTCGTCCAACAAGTAGTCATCCTTGGCAATAACCCGGTTTACATAGCATATTTGACGAGGCTCTAGGTCGTTAATTTGGCGATAATTTCGATGCAGTGGTCTTCAAATATTTAGAGGGGATCATTTTGTAAATTGTTAAGCACCATTGGCATCTTTTGCAACATCACGGACGGAGATATAAGCTTGCAACAAACCCTATGTAAACCGGTCTCTTGTTTTAGGGCCTTGATCCTTGGTAGTCATCCTACATCAGGAAACACTGGACCCACTGGACCAATCGAAAGGTATTTGCCACCACTCTATTAATCATACAAAAGCGTGTTATCGTTTTAAAAAATAGACCTAAGCCTTAACCCTCGCCCGCACATGCCATTTTCCCATCCTAGAACGCACATGGGGGGGGGGGGTGGTTGCCACCCCCCGCGCCATTTCGTTCCTGTTGGAGATAGAGCTTAGCGGTAAAGACCAAAAAGATTCTTTGGGAAGAGACGAATCCAATGACACCCAGTTTTACCTTCTCAGGTCAGTCATTGACCTTCCAGGTCAGGTCAAACTAAAAAATGTTGCTGTTTTAGGTCACCGTTGGATATCAAGCGCGCTGCTTGTCATATACCGATGACGATGCCGTTTTCTGGTGCCAAGCCAGCTAGAACCTCTTTGTCACACTACCCGACCAGGTTTTTGCTGCTGAGGTCATCTCAGGTCAAGTTAGGTCAAGGTCAATAATATGTGTTTGTATGTCTGTGTGTGTCTGTGTGTATACTGATGTGTGCACCGATTGTTTATGTGTCCATATTACATAAAATCATGATCTGAGAAGCTTTTACCAAAAATGTAGTCAAAAAATTTCAAAAAAAAGTAAATTCAGCTTGCCTAAAACGCAATTATCTTAGATGACCTAGGTTGACCTTGACCCTGACCTTGACCTCTGTGCATCGTCGAACAACATGTTTCATGATAGGTGGGAGGTAGGATTGGCATAAAAGGCCGAAATCAAGGTGTTAAAAGCTCACAAGGCCCATAGCCAACGCAAGATGTTGAGAATTGGCCATTTGGGTCATGACATGACCTGAAAAACAAGGTCATATCTCCGAAACCAAAAACCACAGAAAATTGAAATTTTCAGTGGACATCAAGAAAGGATAGAGGAGCAGCTATACGAAAAATCAGCCTTCTAGCTCTAAAAATGTTGAGTGCAGAGCAGAAAGACTACCTGGGGGGGGGGGGTGGCAACCACCCCCCCCCCCCATGTGCGGGCGAGGGTTAAGGTGACCCAGGTGAGAACTGAGATTGGGAAGTCGAGCGTTGCACGGCACTCAGCCCACGTTTAAGAAACTGCTATGCCGAATTCAGTAGCGGCGGAACACCTTCGGTACCTCCGATGACCTCAGTGCTCCAAAAGATTGCAGCCTTATGACTCAGCGACTGGTAGGTAAGGTCGATCATAAGGAAAAGGGCAACCAGTCGCTTGCCGATGCAAGATAGTGCCGATGGTATATAGGGCCTTGGTGCCGATGTAGCGTTTCCAACAACCGTTTCGAAATGTGGTTTGAGGTTTCGAATTGTTATCAGCCGTTTCGAATGTGGTACCTAACCTTAGGTATATGTATACCTATGGCTCGGTTACCTTGTAAGGTCAATTCAATGTTCCTTCTCCTATCAATTAGCAACTGCCTGAATGGTGTCATTTATAAAGGCCAGGCAAATACTAACCTATTTCGTAGCAGCCAGGGCCTGAGCTCTACGAATAGGTACATTCCATTCAACATTTTAAATAATGCTAGGTGTTGCATGGTAATGATGACATCAGTATCCTAACGCTAATCATTGAGCCCTACCAATAAATTTCCGGCGCCCGCATCAACTGGCGCCCGCCGGGGCGAGGTCAGTTGAGACGGTCGTAATTGAAACGGTATAAAAGTCGCACGCGGCAAATCGAACGGTGCGTCGGTGCAACTCGAATGGTAGGTACATGCCTGTCTAAACGGCATCAGTGTCGCCGTCTTCTCGTTCTAGTAGGTATCCTGACCAATCACGGTATCTAGGCAGCCTTCTTCACGTTGTGAATTGTGATCCAGACCAAATCCCCGCCACGTAGGTCACCTGACACTATGCCTAAACGTTACCGGATTATTGTCCCGACTATAACGAGCATGAGCTTATCCATTGGGACAAACATTGACTCAGGAATGCTAGAATGACAATATTCTTTTTCGACATTAAAAAATGAAATTAGGTATATCATACGTTCATTTAGACAATAAATATAGGTAGGTACCTAATGGGGCGTAAATGACTAATCAGACTATGTAGACGTAGTGGATAGGTAAAATAAATCGCCTGTGCATGCAGGCTGCAGCAATCAGCACACATTGCAAAATATCTAAAGCCAAACTCTGATTGCAAGACCCGCCATCATAAGCGATTTCTAATCACTACCGGAAGATGCTCGCCACTCGTTAATTTGCAAGCCGTCATTATCGCGTGAGAACCGCGTTTCCGGTAGCACGACCAGCGCAGAGGCAGTGGTGTCGCTCAGTTGCTCAGTCTCACACCTCCGTGTTACGCGGTCTGCACAGCATCAGATCCAGATGGCCACACAGAGCCGCAGATCGTATCGCCGTATCTAACCATCGCCGTCGTGTCGCGTCGACAGCTCCCTCGCGTCGGTAGAGCGTGCGTCGGAGCGGCGTCCGTTCACCCCCGCCAGTCGAGCCCTCTTCCGCTGGCCAGCCGGTCGGTCACGTGACCGACGACGGGTTGACGGACGGGCAGACCGGCTGGATCACGTGACCGGCGTCCAGGAGGGCGCTCGAGCACCGTGACGCTCGGCGGCGCTGGGCAGGTGCGCGGCGCGACGCAGTCAGTCGGCCGCTGCGGACCGACGCGCAGGGTGGTGAGCACCGGACGGTTGTCGGGGAGGAGCACGGAGCACCAGCACAGGTCAGTGGCCCGTGCCGGGGACGGCGCCGGCGCCACGCCCCACCGGCTCCGGCGGGGCATCGGTGCTTTGATGTGAGCCTGAGGGATGGGAGGGGAATTGAGTTTAGGGTTAAAAACAGTGTTATCATTCACACCGGTGCCGATCTGTCCGCGGTAGAGAGCATGATTGATGACCATTCGTCAGTTATAGATTTGCTCATTTAGTTGAACTTTGGAGCCTGCCTTGGAAGCGCTGGGTAGGCATAATTGTTTGCTATCACCTATCGATCAACGATTCATCAATTACGCGAAGTTAGTTTGCATACATTATCTCAGTCTGGCGGAGTCGCTTTCCAACGGTTGCTTTGTTCCCTCGGCGGTTTGGAGTTCCCAATTAAAATTTCAAAGAGCCCGTTTACACACGTCACGGATGTCATAAGCCACGGAGACCTCTAATGACGATCGCGAATGAATTCACACTTAAATACATTATTGCATCTCACCAGAAACGTTTCAATCGGTAAGCACCGTGTTTCTATCAACTTCCAGGTGTATTTGTGAAACTCGAATTTGTCGTGTCGGACCAAATGCTGGACCAAATCGATAAATCAATGGGCGCGGGAGACGGGCGTTGGCTCGGCAAAAACAATCGTTGGGCTGGCACCGCCGGGGCCATTTTACATTTTACCCCAGTTCGTATCCTGTCGTGTCCTTACATGCGGCTTTTTGGATGACACTAATAAAAGACGTGCGGGACAAAGATAATCCCTATCACGATAGCTGTGTCCGTCTCGACGGGTACGGTAAAGAGCGCGACTCCGGCTGGAGAGCAGTGCTAGTGTGTCCGTTTCACATGCGGTTTCATCACATCACCCTAATCTGTCGCCATTTTTACGGGGCCATGTGTACTCCGTGCTGATCGTACCGATAGCGATCACGACTGAGGTCCGTGTGTTTTGATTTCCACGAACCGGCCCCAGTTGAGATGAGAGCCGATTGGAGAGCTGGGCGGCCTTGCCTGCCGACGGCTGAGTCAGTGGGCTGGAATTCCGGCCAGTTCGGTGGCGTGTTTTGTCGCAGTGCCGTGCGATCACGTCCGTCCGGCGCGGGGCTTTACTGTGAGACCGGCCCTGTGCGAATAGGGCCAGCGGGTGCCGTGTGAGAGACCCGCCGACGGGACAGCACTGAGTCACGCCCCACCCGCCGTCCATGGTTCCCCGGCGTCGTCCGCGTCACTGGATCCATGTTTTCCTCGGTGTCGTCAGGACTAGTTCCATCATTGATGCTGGTGTGACCTTCATCGGTAACCGGTCACGTCACCTCTTCGTGGATGGCGCCTCGGAGTGGAAATGCCTGTGGTCAAGCATCGACGTCACGTTCAGGCTTTATTTGATCAAACAAACACGACATGCAATGGAATGTTGAGATTCCGTCGAATTTTCTGAAATTGGGGCTGACGTGTGACTAATGCATGCCATCTCCCATTTTCGTTACAAAATGGAATAATACAGAGCCTGTCCGCGCGCGTGACCTTAGATGAACCTCTCGCGTCACCGTCGTTTAGCAAACCCATCACTCCGGGTCGGGGTCTTTAATCTGCACTTCATATACCTCGTGGGAACTCCGCGGCGGTAATTGTCGTGTTCCCATGGTCCTGGTCATGACGGAGTGATGACGTCGGTCGTCCGCGGAGGAAGGTGACCCGGAGGACGCCTCCACTTCCTCCGGTAAACTGTTCCCAGCGCGACACCAAGCCGCCGCCGCCGCCCTAACGGCCGCGGCGACAGCGCGGTCGGACGGAGCGGGACGACATTCCTGGACGCCGCCGACTGGTTTCTGCCTCGTTTGCAGGGTACGCCGACGGATCAGCTCGCCGCACCGGACGGGCGATGGTCAGCGCGCAGCCGCTGCTGAGCTGAGCCAACTGCTGGGAACGGAGATCTGCGCGCCGCGATGCTGTCGTGGCTGGCAGGGCGTCGCTCGCCGTCGGGCGTGCACCTTCTGACCGATGACCCACTGGCGGTCATCGCAGGGCCTGTCGACAAACAGCAGACCGTCTACGCCGTCTCAAGGTAAGAGCGAAATGGCAATTTTATCGGGCGTGATAGTTTTTGTTTGTGGGTTACAAGAAAGCGGGATGAGGGCTCCCGAGAAGCAGTGTGTTGCGTGATCTCGCATTCGATTATCCGAACGGCCTGTTCCACTTCAGTTGAATGATCCGTTCCACTGTATTATAAACCTTTCGTGTCGGAATGCTTCCGTTTGTTCGACGAGAAAGCAACCTTGCGCGGTGTTGGTCCGTTTTTAACTAGGTTATCTTGCCTCGCGATCTACCTCCTAAACTGGGTGCCGGATAAAGCTCGGGAGCTAGAACTGACATAAAACCGATCGGTCTCACGGACCCATATCTATTTTATCCCGGAACATTTCGCCATATTATAGCATGATGCAAACAGCCGCGGCCTTGCAATTTCCTCAACAGCAGTTGCCACTTTATGCCTTTACTGGAGGCTCCTTCTAACAAGTACCGGCAAAATCCATCAGTCCATCGAGTCGCGTGATGCCAGTTTCGATCTAGGAGGTCACGGCAGGTCAGGGTGCCCTATTTCGGCCGGGATCCTCTCCGCTATCCGTGGCACTCACGGGTCACTCAGCTAAGTCGTCGGTCCGGCGGTGCTTCCGACTTCCGCTCTTTGTACTGACAGCCGCCGTCACGACCGTGGAGTTCGACCACGTCTGATCGGACATCGTGGGAGCGACTCGAGCGGTAGTTGACTTCACCCGAGTTCGGCGGCACTCCCGTCGGATTTATACAGCGTGCCGACCGCCGAACTCATGAACGGACCTCTGAGAAACGGGCCCCGCGTAATCCGAGAGTCATGAACGGCGGATCGGCCGCAGCAGTGTTCGAGCTGACCGTCTACAGACAGCAACCAGTCGAACCTAATGCTTGTGGTTTGGGGTTATACAATGCGCTTTACACACAGACGCATTACATTTTAATCGATTTCAACGCTTTTTGCATGATTAAGACGGCAAAATACATCAGTGGCGCTGGGAATATCAGCGATTCTACTTAATAAAGGCGGCAAAACTTTTACCTGACTTGGTCAAAGCCAAGGTACTATGAGCAATGACCTTTGTTGTTCCAATGTCCGGGTATATTATCATTTAATCATTCAAACCGGTCTGGTCAGTGGCTTCCGAAGTTATCGATAACAATCGAGACGATATAAACCAGTATAGCGCCTTTTGGGGCGACTAACGGAGCGAGCGAGGGGGTGAGTCTTGCACGTGCGAAATTTCGAGGGGGTACCTCCAACTGACTTGTGCACGGCACCCTACTGACCGGTTTCTAGCGATGTGCCAAATTTGAGCACAATCGGCCCAGCCGTTCTCGAGATCTGGGAGCGGCACCCTGCACGTGCGCACGTGCAAAATGGGTCCCAACTGACTTATGCACGGCACCCTACTAACTGGTCCCTAACCGTGTACCAAATTTGAGCGCCATCGGTCCAGCCGTTCTCGAGATCTGGAAACGACCCCTGCACGTGCGCACGTGCAGCAGCACCCCAATTCTGGCACATGGATATGCAGTGCCTAGTGGGTGCCTACCTACATGCCAACTTTCAGCGCAATCGGCCAAGTAGTTACCGAGATATTGCAACAATTACAAAACTGACACCTCTTCGTTTTGCACGTGGCACGTGCATAAGGGGTCACCTATATGCATCGGGAATAGTCCAATACTTGGTAGAAGGAATGAAGCTACCCTACAAAAATTACCGCGTGTAAATCGGTCAAGTGGTTGCTGAGATATAAGCCTCGCAAAAGCGTCCGCACGGCCGGCCGGCCGGCCGGCCGGCCGGCCGCTCATACTCAGAAATTTCCGTTAATCTAAGGAAAGACTTCGCTCGCTTCGCTCGCTCCGTAACGACTACGAATGCCATACGACTACAACCGTTACACTGTCAGATAGTTCATTAACATTTCAATGACTGATGTGAAGGAATGTTTTCTAAATTTGAAACCGCTTTATTCGAAGCTAACTTCATGACATTAATTTTGGTAAACGGTACACGAATGACGTTTGATGCCGACATGGTGCATCCATATTCCATATCTTAACGATCACATCGATCATGCAAATCGCCTTTTCGCTGCATCATGCTGTAACCATCGGGAAGATTCCCATTAGTCTCCCGCATTTTTCAGTTCCCATGTGTTCCGGGCACCGCACCTGGCTGTCGGGAGTTCACTATTGGCCCCGCGTCCGTCCGGCTGTTTACCTATCGGTCGTGATTTCCCACACGGCTGGACCGTGGCTCGGAGCCGGTTCCTGTGACCACAGGTCACGATCGAACCTCTCATCGGTCAGTGCGGGGTCGCACATCTCCGGGCCGGACGGCCGCCATTCACGGTCATGGAATAAACTCTTGTCGTCTTTCAAGTGATGAGCTCCTAGCTAAAACGTCGCCGAGTCAACCAGCCGACCCTTTGCGACACGGCACGTCACGTCGAGACCGGGCACGGCACGTCCGTACAAACGGCGTTCCCACGAGACGACGCGGCCGCGCCGTCTTTGTCTCGGCGGCGTCACCGGTCATTGTCGCCGGAGAGCGTCTCGCCGGTGGAGCGTGACACCGGCCGGCTCGCTCCACTGGTGCTGCTCCGGTGGGCCGTCCCGCTCGCTCGGTCCGGGCCTCCCCGTCCGGTCCTCCCGACACAGCGGTGCTAATGACCACGTCCCGAACCGGCCGCCACAGACGCCGGCGGGATATTTATACCCCAAAGGGAGTCATTTCACGGGTCGCAAATTGGCCGTGCCGGTCGCGACCGGTGAAGTTTTTCGTCACGGCTCTATAGACGATTCGACGGGCTGGGAGTGGCACGGTCGCCGCGTTATAGTTACCGTCCAGTCGGCCCGGGAGGCGCAGATGTGGACGGAATGTGGCCCTGACGCTCTCACTGGCCACGGTCGGGGACGGGGTAATTGTCGGCGGCGGTAACCAGTCGGCATTACCTGTCCGCTTCAAAGGCTCCGGCCGGTGGCGGCACCGGACGCGCGGCGCTGCGCTGTGGCCGACTGCGCCCGCCCCTCCTCTGTCTCCGAGTACCATGCGGTCAGACAGACGCAGCACTGAGGAAAGCCACAGCCTCACTGATGACAGGGAGCAGCTCCCGATAGACCGTATTGACGCCAGTAAAACAGCTGGGGAGTTCAAGGCAACGGTAAGACGACCCCTGCACTTAGACTGCGGAGTTACGGGAAACTGAGCCGTGGACGGTCTAGCGGTGCCTTCGGGCACCGCTCCAGTCCTTCCTGTCATCCTCTCCGCGACTCTTGGATCCTGGGCCATCCCGCTCCCCACCGGCGAAGTGGTGTGGAGTGGAGTGGGGCGGAGATGTAGAGTGGAGCGTATCGAGGAGTGGAGTGAGTGGCTCGGACCGTGGAGTTGAGTGTGGAGTGGAGTTTGGAGTGGCTCTGAGTGGGCCCCGCACCGGTCCAGCCGGGCGGCAGGTGTGCTGCCTGCTCGCCGCTCGGGCCCCGGCCGGATGCCGGCGGTTTCTCGCTCAGCTGACCGGGCGGCGGACGGTGGCCGACCCCTCGGCCGGCTGTCGCACCGGCGCGGCTCCCGTTCCGAACACAAACACACGGTGATTACCGCCTGCCGTCCGCGACCGGCGGACATCCCGGCGGCGCACGCAGCCGCCGCCCCAGCTGACACGCGCGAATGACTCACACCCACCCCCGCACCGCCGCCGGCTGCGGCCCAACTGGAAATGTGGCATGATTCAGGCGCTTCTGTTGTGTTCGGCCGGTCCCCGGCACAGTCATCCGGCCCGGTTGGACTTCTCAGAATCGTTCGTCATTCGACCCAGGACCGTTTTACCGACGTGTTTTGTCGTTGTGTAACCAACGCGTCAATCAGTCGTCAAAAAAGGTCGATCTGGCGCGGCTACTTATTTGGTCGCCGGTGTCGAAACGTGTGGTAGTAAACCGTTCAGGTTCAGCTCCTCGGCCTGGCGTGGCTAATGGTCGGGGCTCGCTCGCACCGGCTGGCAGCCGCCATGACGCGACCGGAGGGGAGGGAGGGAGGGTCGCTGCCTGGACGTCGCCGCGGACAGTCACGCGAAAATGTCGTAAATCAACGCAACACGTTGTGGGGATTCTCATCGGACTGTGAAATTATGATGTTATAGCCCTAACTAACGTCATCTGTTGTTTTCTTTTGTTCATTTTACCTCTGATGACTTCGTAACCATAAAAGTATAAATAGCTCTGAGGTTACACGGCTCTTAGAGCTGTGCTGTATAATTAACCTTTCCGCGAACACAATGCCCCACAGTGTGAATTCCCGAGGCAGAAACCCGCATTGCCCTGTCATACGATCACCATGATATGCACGTGTATACCGATTACCGTGAACGCATTTCGTGTGCCGACCGTCCTGTGTGGTGTCACCTCTCCCCGAACTGGCGTCACACCAGTCTGTTCTCACCGTTCCAGGACGAACCCCATGTTCGAGGAGGGCTGGCCGGGCGGCGTGCGGCCGGTGGAGGACGAGAGGACCGGCTGGCAGCGGTCGGCGGCCGACGGCAGCACCTACTGGCACGAGCCGCCGCCGGACAGCTCGCTGCAGCTGGAGGCGGCCGCGGACGACACCGGCGGCCCGCCCGACTCGCTCGAGCCGCCGCCGCCCGCCTCGCTGAGACGGTTCACCGAGCACGGAGAGCTGCCGGAGGTGCACAGGGGCCCGCGGGTCCACCGCGGCCCGCTGCGGCCCGGCGCGCCCGCCGGCCGGCCGGCCACCCTGCCGCGGCCCGTGTGGCCATCGGCGGTGGGCGACGCGCCGGTCCCGGAGCCCCCACGGCGCCTCTCCGTCACCGGGTACATGACTGTGGCTGATCACGTTGGACCCACCTGGCCGGGCCGCCGGGCGCCGCCGCCGGGAGCTGTCGGCAGGTTCCCGCTGGACCGGCGGGCCACCTTTCCGCCGGCCCGGGCCGGGCTGGCCGGACGGTTGCCGTCCATTCCGGACGAGGAGGCTGAGCAGCCGGCGGACGGTCAGCCGGACTCGATCGTCACCGAGTCGCTACTGCGGCTCACCACCCCGCGCACCACGCCGGCCGGCTCGGTCCGAGATGGCACCAGCGACAGCCGCTCGCCAGCCGGCTCCACGAGGGCAGAGAGCTTCCACTGGGAGGGCTCCCCGGCCGGTGGGGCGGTCGATGCTGCCGTGATGCTGCCGCCCCCGCCGCCGCCGCTGCCACCGCTGGCGCCCCCGCCGGGCAGCTTCAACTGGGACCGGACGCTGGAGCCGCTGCTGCAGGTGCTGTGGTCGGGAGAGGAGTCGCCGCCGGTCCTGCGCCGCTTCCAGGAGGTGCCCGGCTCGGCCGGAGGTCCGGGAGGCCTGGAGGCCGCGCTGCCGTGGCGGAACTCGGCGGCCGGCGAGGGCCCGTTCCCGGCGCCACCGTCGCGAGCCAGCTCCGAGCTGTCGCAGCTGTACGCCGAGCTGGCGGCGCCGCGGCCCTTCTCTCGGGCGCTCTCCGAGGAGCTGTACGCGTGGCCGGTGTCTCCGCCGGTGGCCGTGGCGCCGCCGCCGCTAGCCCGGCCGCCGACCCGCGCCGAGTCGCCGCCGCCGGCCTACCTGAACCAGCTGCTGCCCTCAGACACGTCGGCGGCGGGCGGCCGGCTCGGCTCGGACGCCTCCTCTCAGCCGAGCCGCTCGGTGCGGCGCACACCCTCCGACGCGTGCTCGGACGACTCGCGGGACAGCCGGCTGAGCGCCGGCAGCCGCGGCCGCCTGCTGCCCTCGGACAGCTCCGAGGGCGGCAGCGAGCGGCGCGTCACCTTCTCGGCCGACACCGTGGACAACGAGCCGGGCCCGGCGCGGCCGCGGCCCCGGCGCCACGCCGACCGGCCGCCCGCCCGCCGCCCAGTCGGCAGGGGCCGCAACAAGGGCTTCTACGCGTCCAACATGCTCAGCAGGCTCACCGGACTGAGCCACAGCGCTGGCGGCAAAAAGGTTAGACCATCAACATTCCTGAGTTACCGTCTCCATACATGCTTTATCCTGTCCTGAACGTACGCACTGGTTTTCCCTGATCCCGGTACCTGCGATCTGCAGGCAATACGCATGTTTTGAAAGAAACACTCCGAGAAACAATGGCAAATTAAAAGAAAAGAAAAGTCGGAAGCACGAAGCAGCTACAGAGGAGGCATGGGTAAATCACAATGCACACGGAGAAGGCAACCAAACTGTAGAAATTGGATGGCTGCCCTTAAATGGATTAGGATCCGTTAAAACAATAGCGTCCTTGTTTAAAGAAGTCGCTTGGCAACCAGGGTGGCATCACTTCAACAGCCACCTCAAACAATATCACAATTCATAGCGGTTGATGTCCAAAGGTGTTTTAAAAATGCCCACCTCAAGGTGACAGGCAGCTTCTTTGTTGGGGCAATGCATGCAAAAACAGCACTTATCATACTGGTCTGGAGCCGTTCTGTCCACTGCTGGATATGCTAATAAGGAAAGCGGTAGCAGGGCTGCAGGAAAAGGGCGTCGTCTGGGCCGGGCGGGCCATCCTCGTCGCCAGTGGCCCGGTAATCCGTCACCTTGCCGCCGGCTGGAGGGGTTTGGGCCGATCCAGCCCGGATTGGCAGACTTTCTCCTCAGAAGGCGACGGACGGACGCCGGTCACTCGGTTATTAACATTCCTGGATTAGGAAAAACGACCAGGAAAGATCAGCAATGAGGACGAAAATTGATCTGATTCATGACTGCCAGGCTCAGTAAAGCAACAAAGACATCGCCCGTCGCAATGTTGAGCGCGAGGACACGTTTTCCGATTGAGCAATTTATCTCATTTTCCTGCACAGTGCACATGTTCTCGGAGTTGAACGACTGTAAACGCGCTGGACCGGGGTGATGATTGATTTTTAACACCGATCTACCATTGAAACGTCACTTTCCTCGTTGTTCAGCCGCACAATGTGTCACTAACTGTAAAATTAAGTCAATCAACGTGTCCGATTGACTTTGAACGACCTGCACCGACCAGCGGGCGGTAGTTCGCAGACTCGAACAAGCTTCTATGAGGATAAAGTAGCTATTTTTAACCTATGGAACGTGTTTGTCAGTGTCCTTGCGCGGTGGGGGCTGGACCGTTCGCTCCAAGCCTGTGTGCGTCTCACTGACCGTACGTCCCTTCCTCCCAGGAACTGCAGCTGCGGGGCGTCTCGGTGGAGCTCGGAAGGAAGGCGGAGCTGCGCTCGCGGCACCTGTGCACGGCCGTCACCGCCGTGCTGGTGCTGGTCCTGCTGGCCGCCGCCGGCGTGCTCACCGTCTGGCTGTGGACCACCGAGCGGCGACTGTTCCGGGTCTGACCGGACCAACGAACTAACGAGCGGCGGCTGTTCCGGGTCTGACCGGACCAACGGACCACACAGCGGCGCCTGTCCGGACCAAAGGACCACCGAGCGGCGACTGTTCCGGGTCTGACCGGACCAACGCAGCGGCACCTGTTCCAGACCAAAGGACCACCGAGCGGCGACTGTTCCGGGTCTGACCGGACCAACGCAGCGGCACCTGTTCCGGACCAAAGGACCACCGAGCGGCGACTGTTCCGGGTCTGACCGGACCAACGCAGCGGCACCTGTTCCGGACCAAAGGACCACAGAGCGGCGACTGTTCCGGGTCTGATCGGACCAACGGACCACACAGCGGCAACTGTTCGGACCATTGGTGTATGGGCCACCGAGCGGCGCCTTTTCCGGGTTTGATTACACCAACGGACCACCGGGCGGAGTCCGTCCCGGAACAACGGACCACAGAGTTCCGGGTCTGACCGGACCAAAGGGACCAATGGACCACCGAACAGTGCCTGTTGACTGTTCCGGGTCTGACCGGACCAATGGACCACAGAGCGGTGTCTGCTCCGTACCAACGGACCTTCGAGCAGTGCCTATTTCGGGTCTGGCAGGACCAACAGATCATCACGCGTCGTTTCCGGACCAAGAGACCGCCGAGCGGTGCCTGTTCCGGGTCTGACCGGACGAAAGGAAGGACGAACAGCGGACAATCTAGAGTGTCTGAACCAGTGACATCATCTGGATTCAGCGTATTGGGTCAGGTTTACCGTGTGCTTTGTGCAGTGCCGCTATTTGGCGAGGAAAGTGATAGGGGAGGATGAGATCTGCCTTCGATGTGGCGGTGCTTATCATAATGTGGCATTAAGACACAAAAGATCATATCAATTTAGTCTGTAATTATGAGAATTTGTTAGGGTGTGTGCTTTAAGTTCATTGAACAGAGGATGATTGGCGGTGACACCGTGAGCGGACAGGTGAGCGGGATTGTTGAACATTTGTTTGTGAAGCTATGAAGACAGCTAAGCCTGTGAGACATTCGAGAGGCTGGATTTTACATGGCTATCATGCCACAAAAGCTCCAGCGGATGACAGTGCTCTTTTTACCGTGAGTGTATGTGACGTGTTCTCAGATGCATGTGACCTTATGTTAGGGCATTGTACCCAGTCGATGATGTGAACTAAGGCATTCAGCCGACGCACAACGTTTGTTATTTAGACATTCCATGTTCATTATTATATACCGACCCAATTGAGACGCTCAAAAGTCAGCACCGGACGTGATTCGGCTATGCGGAGGCGCGAATCTGACTGCGAGTTACACCAAAGTATTGTCTTCCCGCAACAGCTCGTGGCGTTGCAATTAAAAGCTAGACTCATTTTTGCTGTTTAACATTGTCTTCCCACAAAAGTGATGCAATTTAATGCTGGAAGTGGACTTTTGTTTGTTTGGACTTTCAACTTTTCTGTTTGAACTGTGAATCTCCGTTCCCTGTCATTGTGCGAGGTGTCGTGAAATATAATATCGACACACAATCGATGTTTCCTGTGAACTGACTGAAGTGTTTGTTGATAATGACCGTGACGTTGTTTGCCGTGTCGGGTAACATGCTGACAAACAAATCGTTACTCGTGTGATGTCAGCGCCGTTCAGGATGAAACCCCTGAAGGTCGTCCCGGACGGTTCGGACACGGAAAGACACCTGTAAAACCGGGGGAGACACCCAGCTTACCACCCGTCCCAATCACAATGAGCCCGGAGACCGGTCGACCGAACCACAAACGGAGGAAAGTGCGGCGACTGTCCGCGGCCCTCCTGCTGTGGTAATCACGGGTGACCTTCAGCCGGACACAAACTCCGGCCGTGTTCACAATACACCGCCGTGCCAGCGCGAGATTCGTGCACCAGAGATCGTGCCATGAGGCCCGTAATCAGTTACATCTACCATCTGATACCCAGAATATCAGAGATCAAACCGCTGTGATAAACACCCGGGCCATAAACCCTCGTCCATCTCTGTCACCGGTCGGATTAACGTCACAGCCCGTCAGGAGAGCCGTTTTCACGAGCAGGGTCCCACCATTCAATGTGCATGACCTACGGACACAAGAGGGGTTACAGATTTCCTCTGGTTGTCGCTCTGCCGGCTCCGAATCAATCGTGCGTGAGGGCAGTATTTCCCGCCAGAGGTGTGACATCAACTTACTCTCGTGATTGCGGCTGGCAGAGAATACGGACATTTCCTCCGCCCACGTCCGAGTTCTGAGACGAGCATGACCGGCAGCTTTCACCGACAGAAAGATTTCCGACTCAGATAGAATCAAAGCCAATTTAGCCGACACGCCGCAATGAGGCGATAATTTTGGATCGGAACTGTGTGGTGTTCCTGCATGTCGTATGTCGTGTCTCCCTGCACGCATTGACCGAATGCGGATATCGGATACTAGACAGTACACAGTACCGGTCAGCAGACCCCCCCCCCCCCCCTCCTACCCCTTCCCCATCTCAGACACAGCTGCATCGGTCGGTCAGCAGACAGCCGCCACAGACACATCCCGGTAGGTAGGCAGAATAAAGTCTGATTATTCAGTGAGCTTTGTGCGTAGGTGTGGACATATTAGCACAGCAATAACGGACACGACACAACACTCGTCCAGTCAGACAAAACGAGTACCAACAAAATCACAGAACAATCACAAAACTAGTACATCAAAACGTGCGGCTGCCAAAAGTGGCGCCCGTCCGCATAAATAAAATCGAGATTCGCAGCACAGCATAAGTACAAAAATACAAAACAACCATCAGTAATAAAGCCAAGAGGGACAGATCAGGTGGATGCTGGGTCACAACCATCCATAATGACGCGCCATAAGCTACTGGAATCGGCACTGGCGGACATACAGGGGTCCAGCGACCCGTGCTGACCGGCTTACAGGTCAAATGACTGATCAGTCAGCAGGGTTCACTACGTGACCCCACAAACTGGTCAGTAGGGTCACGCAGTGACCCAACAAACACACTTTCAGTGACCATGCAGTGCCGGTCAAGGGTCACTGAGTGACCCCACAGACCGGTCAAGCAGGGGTCGCTGACAGCCCTTCCTTGGCCCGATGACGACCCATGCTGACCGATCGGGGATCTACATAGGCGGATGAGTCATTGCTTGCCAGAATGGTAAGCCCCAATAATCGGAGACGGTTAGTGGCCGTTGCAAGTCGTCAGTCCGCCAGTTAGTAGGAGCTGCCAAACACTATACGTCCAGACATCAAAGGCAAAATACGAACGGCCAAATGGCCTCGCTGGCAGAAGCGCCGCGCATACAGTGTAAAATACTGCCAGGCCAAAGGGAAAAATGCCGTTAGCCGACACTCACTACATCCAAAATACAGCGCTGAAAGTGTCGCCACCTAGCGCGATTGCACATGATATATTCCGAGGAAGGCGTGTCTTGCACAACGGTCGGTGGCCAGGGTTAGTAGCCGCTACCCCGCCCAGCCGACCCATAGAAGCTCTCGGCACAAACAAAACGTGCCTCTACCCTGAAGCTGCGGAATGAAGCGAGCCCCTCTCAGGACGCGACGGGATCACAAAGTCAAGTGGCTCTCCAGCCAAAAGCGAACAGCTTAAAAGCACAAGAATGTCGCTTTAGACGGAAACCCCCCTGGGCTGCCTCGTGGACCGTGTCAACGGGTAAAATCCGTTTATTCAGGCCCGATGGGTTCCTCTTATCGGAGGCATGCCAGTTTGCAATACTGGATCCGTATACACCAAACCGACCCAAAATATCCATCAATGACCGGCCGATCTCTCCTCTATGTGGGGCTCCCCCCTCCCCGTCCCGGGGTGCCACCCCGTCTCCTCTGCGGCCGTCCCCTCCCCGCCGGTCGGCACTCAGCTGTCTCTGGGGCCGGTGCCCGCCGCCCGCCGCGGTCACAGGCTGACGCCACGCACCACCAGCTCGCGGGCCGGCTGGTACAGCCGCCGGCGCAGCAGCTGCAGCTCGGGGAACAGACGCAGCTCGCGCGTGGCGGCCGTGTCCAGCTCGAACACGGCCACCAGCAGCAGCAGCAGCAGTGCGGCCACCGTCAGCACTGCGTACAGCAGCACGCGCAGCAGCGGCGCTACCAGCAGCCGGCGGCCGGCAGCAGGAGCGGACGGCCGGCGGGACGGCCGGCGCGGCGGCTCCGGGGGCACACCGCGCTCCAGACGCGACACGCCCGCTGCGAAAAACAACGGTTCACAACGTGAGAACCATGGAACGCGTCTCAACTCAACACATCGACGATAGGACCGCAACTAATAACACACCAACGATTCAGCATATCATTTCAGTTCAATTCAGCTCAGATTCGATGTACGTTTTTTCGGCTACCAGGCCGAAAAAAACGTACATCGAATTACAATGTCTAGTCGTAAAAACTTGAAATCATACATTTCAGCTCAGATTGTTATAATACTTCGAATAAATAAACGAAGGCAACGAAAGTCGATTTGTTTGTTTGTTTGTTTGTTTGTTTTGTTGGGTTAGGCCCTTTCGGTCCAATGAGACCATTTCAGAGCCGGGAGGATGATAGGATATAGGGGGAGACATTGGTCTGGGCAGGCACCCTAGTGAGTCGCCGGGGCTAAGCCCGTCCAGAGGACAGGCCACCCAGCCCCAAGGCACTCACTGCACCCGGCTACGGGGTGCGCTCCCCCGTAAAGCAGCGGTGCCGCTCCAAGGGAGCAGCCCGCATGAGATAAAGTTGCCTGTCCAGCCCGGAGGGGGGTTGCGGCGTGGAGGAGAAGGATTTCAGTATCCTGAGGATAGAAGCACGGAACGGTGAGTCGATTTGTCAACAAATAATTGCGTTGTGACGGGAAACATTGCTGGAATACTACGTTTTGTACAAATGCAAGTATGTGCGCCAACTTTGACCATGTGTTAGCGCACTTACCTTGTCCGTGCAGGGATGAGTTTGTGAACTGACCTTGTCCGTGCAGGGGTGAGCCGGTGGGCACAGTGAGAGTGGTGAGAGGCAGCGGCCGCTCGGCGGACCGGTCCTGTTGCTGCTGAGATGTCAGCCCGGCAGACTCGTACGCCCGAATCGGCGACATGTCTGGAGAGAGGCGGGAGACGGTTAGAGCGACGAGAGCTGAGATAGAAGAGCGCTAATCAGCCCGCGTTCTGACAACACAGCTGGACAGAATTACGGCCAGAGTCTGACACAGGCTGACAACGGTAAGAATAAGCTCGCTAGTGAGTAAACACTAGCCGGACAGCAACACGGACCAACTTTACACAAAAATACACAAATTGACTGAGGTGAATGCAGTAACTACTTCCATCAAAAGAGCACATGCAAATGTCACGTGCGAGGAAAACTGAAGTAGCCGCTGACAGCACGCGATGATGACCAGGATACGCAACGTACAATGCGCTGGTAATGTCGCGGGATCTTCCCTAAGCCCGTTGCCGTCTGGGTCTGTTCTAGATCGCAGAGGTGCACGACGTGTACGTACACGGCAGTTTGTGTGTCTGTCTGTCTCTGTCAGTCGGCCTGTCTCTGTGCGTCACTTTGTGCTCTTGTCACTCACCGAGACTTCTGTGTCTAACACTGACCGGGACTAGAGAGCGGTGTGTACTGTGTACCTCACTGGACTGGAGGGCAGTGTGTGACTGATCTGTCTGTATGCCTGTCTAGTGTCTAACACTGACCGGGACTGGAGGGCGGCGTGTAGCTGACGATCTCGTCCAGCGGACGCAGCAGCCGGCCGCCGGTCTCCTCGGGACCACACGGGGCCACCATCATGGTCTCGTCGTCGGCCAGACTGGTGTGCTCCGGGATCGGAGAGTCGTGCGGCAGGCGAGCCGCGCCGTACGCTGTTGGGTCAGGGGGAGTCGCGTCAGAGAGTACCGACAAACAAAAAAGCGGTGCGCACGGCTGAATAAAGCAGTAAGGTCATAATTAACATCGATGCCCAACTGCCAATGATAGAGCCGCAGAGCTCAGGAAGCTGAGCGAATTAGTCAGAACGTTCTTACCATCGGATTGCAAGATTTGATAATCAAAACAGCCGCGATCACGTGTTCACTAAAATGAAAAGAATGACACCAAATGGTTTCAAGGCGTGATCACTCTCCGATAGTACGGTATGTCCCGAGTTCGACACGATATAGTACACATGGCCGAAACCCCTCAAGTTCCCAGAAAGCACGACCGCCATCCTGTCACCCAGCCCGGCACAACAGCTCTGTCCTCACCTGATGAGCTGCCCTGTGACTCGCACGGTGTTGCCGGTACACTCTGAGACTTGGGCCGGACTGATGGACGCAGCCCGTACCTAGGGGAGGGGAGAATAGTCAGCACGGGGGAGCAGCGAGTATAGGACATGGGCAAAGTGGACCGCTCATGACAGGCATGATCAGTGATCACCAGCTGACAGGGCAGAAAATTGAAAGGAGTAGGAGGAAATCCGGCGTTTGGGGAATGCGACACAAATGACGATCCAAGCTGCAGCGCTACAATTAAGCTTCAACAGGCGTCATAGTGTGAGTGCTGCCATCTTATGGGCGGACAGTAAGCAGTGGTTGCTCCACACAGTGCGCGCTGCGCACTGACACAGTGCGCGCTGCGCACTGACACAGTGCGACCATCACCTGCTAAACTGTTGCCGCTCTGGCTCTTCCCTGGCTGCTCTGGACATTACCTACTGAACTGAGACTGCTCTGGCTCTCTCCACTGGTTGCTCTATTTCTAACCTGCTGAACTGTGGCTGCTCCCGGCGCACCGGCTGTCGGCACACCTCCCGCTCGGTGCGGCCCGAGAACCGCACCCGCGAGTGACGAGAGAACAGAGAGCCGCCCAGCACCATCCGGGGCGCACTGCGGGACGACTCACACCTGCCGGCAGGGGTCACAGGTCAGGTCATAGGTCAGGAACGACCAAGAACGAGTCACACATGGCACCAGGGGTCAGAGGTTAAAGCCAGGTCAGAAATGACCCCAGGAACGAGTCACATCTGGCACCAGGGATCTCAGGTCAGTGGTCAAGGACTCAATTTGCATCCCAAGTAATAGGTCAGGTCAGACCAGGGCCGTGGGGCTGGAAGTAGAGGGCACACATAATGGTCCGCTGTCGATGCACGGGAATGTCGGAAGATTCATGGTAGGCATCGAAAGATAGACTACGGAAGATCGAATTATGGATAACAGAAGCCATCGAAACTTTTGGATGACCTGAAGGCTGAACATCACAGTAATCTTATTATGGAAACACATTCCCATACCAGGAAACTGCGAATAATGGGCATACCCGTTGAAACTCGACGTTCCACATAACGCCTGAACGTGAAGGGTAAGCTCCTAAGATTCCGAGTACAGCCGGGTCAGAGTCCGTCCAAATACTCTATTCACATTTGATCCTAGCACTACAGCTGTGATTTACATTTCACAGTAGCTGCACCGGCCCCTCATTTGGGCAGCGCGGCCCACGCCGGTCCCCACCAATGTTTGCCCCGGCCGGCTGTGGCCATTTTCTGACTAATACGGCGCCGGTGGCCGGTCGGCGACCGTCCCGGGACACTCAGTCAATACCAATTATCGGGCGCTGCTCCCGGCCGCCTGGCCAAGTGACCATGGTGGGCAGAACAGACGGCACAGGACGGGACGAGACGGGGAGCGAACAGAAAGGGAGGATAAGACGGGACGGGAAGGGATGGCACGGGGGGGAAAATGATGGGTGGGACCATAGACAGAGGTGTATGGTGGGACAGACTGAGACGGCACGGAAAAAGATGTGATGGCATTGGAAAAGACGCTACAAGGCCCGCACTCACCGCAGTGAGAAGACACGATCCCCCAGACACCACATACACCAAACACACAACCCCATCCGTGGATCGGCGCGGCCCGTCCCCATACTCACGTGAAGAACAGTCGATGCTCGGTGGCATCTCGCCAAAAGTGTCGGCACCTCTGCACCGAGTCGCTTTTGTAGCCGACTGTGCGTTTGATCTGTGGTGGCGGACGGCACGGACCGGCGGTTAGGCACGGGCCACGGCTGGCGCCCAGTGGTTAGAGGTGCACACACCGCACACACACACACCAAGCTCGGGGCGGTGAGAGATGAAAACCACACACGACACGCCCACATGCAGGCTGCTCGTTACACTCGTTATGACCACATTCTATAGACACGCATCATAACTGATCGAGCTCTACAATCCCAGTACCATCACGCAGCGTGCGCCTTAATGCAGCAAATACAGCATCTCGCAGCTATAGAACACCAGAATACAAACACCACTAAGTTAATTCACCCCACGGCAAGCAAAAAACAGACCGACCTCCTAGCCTATCACACACGCATACACGCTGCTGGGTTCAGCAAACACTAATCACAAATCCACCGCAAAACAAACTATCCCAAACGACGTCCTCACATACCTTATTTCTCGAATCTTCCACGAAAACCAGGTGCACGATGAACATTTTGTTCTCGAAGTTGAGTTTCTGAACGTCGTGCCAGCGGAAGAGGTGTGTGCGACGACCGTCTTGTAGCACTGAGATACCGCGGAAGTTGAGGCCCAGCATCACTGGGGCGCCGCGCTGGTCCTGCCGGCAGACGGGGGATGAGAGAGTTGGTTAAGGGGAATTACACTGGGGAGTTGGCTAAGAGTCACAGTGAGGCGTCACGGTCATGAGTGTAAGTTTTTTTTTAATCGCGCTACTCAATTTGGTCAACGTAACTACGTGAGCAAATATTGGCTTGTAAAACAATCACACGACTTCGAATTCATTACAAATTTTGTGATGATAAAATGAGACTAACAAAAGTCATTGCGTCTCATTTTGCATGCACTTCCGTACAATACCTAATACTTCAATCAATTTGCGGTGTGTATTGCTACCTATGAAGACACCGTTAAAAAGTGAATACCAGTAGTTAGGCGGGGGTAAATTTTTAAGGTAAATATTGCAATGATTTTACGCTCATCAATTTCGAGGAAACCTGCTATTAAATTGGTATGAGGCAGCTCTGACACAGAATCGATAAACGTCCGCCCACCCAATCAAGCCCACACTTCTCGGGGGACTGGCGAAAATGACGGCCATCCAACTGATGAGCTCGCTCTAAATTCGCCAAATCGACAGCGCTACCGGCGGCACGCAATAGCGACATCGCTCCGGCCGGCAGCGCACGAGAACGGCGCTGGCGACGGGATCCTCCAGAGACCGGCAGAATGGGGAACGTACCAACAAATGTGAAACGGAAACGGGCTTGGAATATCCAATTAAACATGCAAATAGCCATAACAGTACAAAACACATAAATTTATAGTAACAAAAGAGGCATGGTCATTAAATAGGTACCACCCGATACTGACCCTAACCATTTTCTTTCAGCTTCCACAAGATCCACCACGATCTCCAGGCCGTCTACTTATCACTCCTCCTGAACCTCCACCGTTCCTCAGCTTAGACGACAGGTATAACTTCTGTGATGATGGCCGTTCCCTAGCCTAAGACCAAAGGCGCCTCTTCCGCGGTGAGCCCCTGCCACTCCCCCTCACCTTGAACGCCTGCGGCCGCAGTCCGTAAGTGTCCAGCTGCGCGGCCCGTTTAAGCAGCGTCATCTCGGCCTGTCCGGGGTCCAGTCCGCGCGTCTGCCGACTGTGCAGCTCCATGGTGCGCTCCTCGAGCCGGCTACTGGCGCGCCAGACCAGACTGTAGTCGGAGGCGTACCGGCCGCGCTGCTCCTCCGGGTCGTGGTCACCCGTCTCCACTGGGGGCAGAGAGTGGAACGAGTCAGACGGGTCAGATGGGGCGGGGAAGACGGCAGGGGGAATTAGTCAAAGGAACGGCAGGAGAGGCTAAGAGATGGCAAAAGAGTTTGTCAGTAGGACCGGCAGAGGTGGTGGAGGTACTGAGGAGGACAGGCAGGTGGGGGAATGTAAAGTGAAAACTGCAGACACTAAACAACCAGCCATTAAATGCTGAGATCGCTTGGAGGAATACTAACGAGTACCGACCGTCGCACGATACACACCCGCTGAGCGGCGCCGACTGACCTTGGAGTACGAGAGCGGCCAGCAGGGCGGCCTCCTCCTCTGGCGGCGAGAGTCGGCCGGCGCGCAGGTCACGGCGCAGCTGCAGGTACACCTGGTAGCGCGTGAGCTCCTCCTGCAGCCGCTCCGGCCAGCCCGGGTAGAACTTCACCCGGAAACTGAACACCATCGGCCACATGTCTGCCAGACCGCGGAGAGGTGACCGTTAAACGGGGCCGCAAGCTGCACACTGATATACAGCAGAGTACACAGACAATGCATTTACTTCATACTCGTATACAGTCACACCTCATAAGAGCATCTACAGCCTCTAATACCTACACTATATATAAATTACAAGCTACACAATTAGGCATGATAATTCATGTTTCAGCCGATAGCAAACTAAGAATTTTTCTCTTTATCTATTTACCAAATGTGAGCATTTTGAGCTGCACTATTTCAACATTTATAGCTCAGATAGAAAAATAAGATAGATCACACTCACCCTTCACTTGCTTCAGGATCTGTTTTGTGGGATCGAGCCATTGCTGGAAATGATGACCACATTCATCAATGGATTGTATTATCCTATCAATTAATGCTGGGGATCATATTCATATTTGAGAGCTCAGCCTGAGGTGTTAATTCTAGGCAACTAAGCAGAAAATAAAAATTGTAGCAATAACAAATGATGGCAATAGCTGATCTGAGATTGGACCTTTTGCACATGTAGGCTCATCTCTTTGTATGCTTAGCTCTTTTATATTATCCCATATGACAAACCTAAAACCTAAAAGATACATCCAAGAAAAGGGGAAGTTTTTCTTTAATGGGAGCAGCCATGTTAAAAAGGGAACTGCCTTACCTTTGTTTTGTTGCAGTCCTCAAAACTAAGACAAAAATACTCCTTTTCCACTAGGTCAAGGTGTGCACACACTTGGTCAATCAGGTACTGTCCATTCTCCTTCCCCTGAAAAGATCAAACTTATGAAATTATACACTTCTATCAATTAAGGAAGCTTCATACATCATACCATATATTATGCTGATTTGTTAGGTAGCAATCAGCTATGATACATCAAGGATACAAGTTCTAAGGTAGAAGAAAAATGAAAACATATTATGCTATACTCACCAAAAATTCACACTGTAGTATCTCAGAATCATCAAGCAGTCTTACTGTGCATTTATATGCATACTTTTTTGTTTTGGATGAAACAAATGGCATGGCTTTTGAGAAACAAATGTTTCCTGAGAGTAAAGTGCAGCTTGTGATCACTGATCAGCAAAATCCAGGGCAGAAATTCCAGAGATTTGATATCTTGAAGTCAAGCAGACTAGATGAACCTGCAACGAAAAATGAAATTAGTTAATAAGTGTAAAAAGAGAATGAAGACTAGACCTAGGGTTTGGAGTGTATTATGAACAAGTAGCTACAAATAAGGTACTACAAGTTAATGTAGAAAAGCTAATGACCAGTTTTGAAGTATGAGGGGCCAACACATGTCACATTCTGCTGATACACTCTCTTCTAAACTTAATAAGCAGGTGTTTATTTTGGCCATTGCTACATAATTATGACAGAAGTTTTTAAGTCGCACATTCGCCCAATACTGGAGTATGCGTCACCGGTATGGAACACAGAGTACCACCAGGACTTGAAGAGACTTGAGAGCGTCCAAAGACTTTGGACCCGCCAGAAGCTTGGACTCGAGAATGCCAACTACGGAACTCGATTGCGCGAGCTTAATTTGTACTCTGTCAAAGGGAGGCTGCTCAGGGCTGACCTGATTAAATGCTGGAAGATTTTCCATGGCAAATGTACCATCAATCCTGCTGACTTGTGGATAATTGATCCCCCTTCTAGAACGCGAGGTCACATGTTCAAGGTCCAGTGCAGGAGGTGGCAGATTGATGCAAGAGCCCGCTTTTTCAGTGCAAGAATTGTCCGCGATTGGAACTCCCTGCCCGCCTCTACAGTCTGTTCCGAAACCATTGAGCAATTCAAGACATCGTTGGCTGCAGCATTAGGAGATAGGTTATTCGAGTTCATTCCTTAGTCAAATATCTCAACCTTCTGCATCCTTTGCATTTGCCAACCTAGCCCCTGTCTGCCGTGGGAGGCCCCTCCACTTCGCCAAGAGAAGTGGAGGTAAGATGCACCACGGTTCCCGACACTAATCCTCCACATTCCTAATTTCCCCACAATAACCACCGTTATGTCCCATCACGCTTCACACATTTTCGTCGTTGCTTATTGGCTTGTCTTGATTGCGCGTTTTGGCGCTGAGCGTTTGCACGTTTTGGCGCTGCGCGTTAGGCGCTGCGCGTTTTGGCGCTGAGCGTTTGGCGCTACTTGTCTCGTCCAACTTTTGAACACTGTGAATACAACAGCACATCTGTATTGCAGACGCACACCTCCGGCTCACAAACGACTTGAAACAAATGACATAGGTATATTTATGTATTGAGCCGGCACGTCTCTATCCGAAATGGGTTTCCCTTTCACTTCCATCCATCAACCTGTCCAATTCATATGGCTGAGGCGGGAAACCTACTAGGTGAGTTGACTAGGTGAGTAACCTATTCCTGGGTTGACATTTGTGACAGCATGGGCCCTGGACCCTCAGGCAATTGGAGTTGAGATTTGACACAAATAAGCCTGAACTTCCAGCTCATGTTGTGTAAAGATTTCAGCGCAAAATTGCACTGAATTTCAGCATATAAGAGCCCCCAAGGCATCTGGCATAGTGTTTTTTCCCAGTCTGGCACAAATTCACTTTCTGATTGATTTGTTGGGCAGTGGGTGAATGCTCAATGCAGTGAGATAACCCACTTGGTTTACATGGACATTCTTTACAGTTGGTGTAAATTCATGAATATGATAGCTTCTGCAATCTGGTGAAATGCCCATATGTTAGCTCAACCCACATAATTGAAATTTAATTTGCAATCAAGTAATGTTAATTTTTTTCTCCTTCAATTCATACTAGCCATAAACCAACATTTTACAGTTACTGTTGTTTGTTGAACATCTACTGTCTGCATTTCAATGAGTTACAAAAGTGACAAGAAAATCACAAATGAAAATTGAAATGAGTTGAAACTTGAAAGAACTGAATCACCAAAAATGATCACAAAGTAGGTCAAGGTTGAAGTTGAGGCATAAGCCACTTGCAAGGGCCAGTATAGCCAGGCCCCTCATAGGCGTCAACCAGGCACCCTGCTCCCAGCTAAGAAAGCAAAGTAATTTGAGGAAAAGCTTTGAACAATGTTTGGCATGTAGCCGGTTCTTCTTCTTCTTCTTCTCAGTCGTCGGTTCCACCCATCGGGTGCACCATCAGGTTGTCCTCCCTGATGACCCTCTGCTGTCCCTTATCTCAGCTTTTACGTTGATTGGTTGATTTAGTTCAGCAAAAATAAAAATCACCCGTCCCACCTCAAACCTCAATAGCCTATGGTCCAGGGGGGTTCGCTCCCGTGCCTTCAGCATTACGAAAAATGGCAACAACCCGTGAGCAGCGTCAGCGCTCACGCACATGTTCAAGGAAAACAACGTGTAATGGACTGCTAACGACGGCCCTCTCCTCCAATCAGCGTTCGGCATCTCGAGCGCTGATTGGCTGGTAGCAAACGCGTCATATGTGGGTCTCATTTTTTGCTATCAGTGAACGCTTTATTTAATACACAGTGGCCTATGGAGAATGGCACGCGGAATTGAAGGTCAGTGTTTTATTGCTTCGTACATGCGAATGGGAGTATTTGAGTGGCATTTGACACCATTTTCGAAATCTACAGTGAATTTCTGATCGACTTATGTATATATTTTTATGAATTTGACAGTATTAGTGCTACATAGTCGGTGTTTTATGTTGGTGTTGTTTCTCTGGACCTTTGTCTTGGACTTTAATCATATCTTTTCTCGAAAATGCTTGCCATAACCAGGTCTCTAAACTATATCTGTATAAAGGGAATGTGTGTTGAATATGAGGAGAAAGTAGTAATGACCATTCTGCCTATCAAACTGCCAGAAGGTGTGCTTGTAAGGTGATTGAAACTGCAGTATGGGTTGCAGATGTGGGTTTGACATCAGCATTGTTGTTGTAACCCCACTTGCCCTAATAAAATGGCAACATGGGGTTATGTACACACTATTGCACAGCCTGGTATCAAGCTGGTTGATATGTGGAGGATAATGAAAGCATAAAAACCTTTCTTAAGTGAATAGGAGCGTTGCGTCTTGTGTCTTGTCAAGTCATTCTAAATCAAATGATTGTGATTGTAACTTTTACTTCAATTTTTATTGCAAGTTTTGACCTTTTTAATCATCAAGTTTTATGTGTACCAATTTCATATCCCTGTGTAATGTCTGTGCGGCTTTGTGCAGTGCGCGTGTCTTGAAACAAACCAATTTATTTGGTACCTTTTTGTACTTCAACAAATGTATGTCAAAGGACAAAAATGTCATGTCTATTATCATTGACACTACTACAACTAACTTTGCCTGTATTCCTATCTTTCAGAGGCATTCAATTCAATCTGCTTTCCAGTGCAGTACCCAGGAGGCTGCAACTGAAACTCGCACAAAGGCAATCAAGTGTCACTTCATCAGCCTACAGCAACAGCCCATCTGTAATCAAGATATGGATGAAGTGGCATTGAAGAAGAACCAGTTCAAACATGAAAAGATGTATTTTGTTTTGGACTATTTCTTAGCATAACAGAACAGCACACTTGCTGCTTTTTGTTTGCCCTGTGTGCAGTTTTGAATAATTTTAACTATGAAATGTTTTTGCCAACTCTTCTCTTTACATAAGCTTCCTTTGTCATGCATGTGTAATTTTGAGTTTACATGCATGATGTAGGCACATTTCCCTTGGCTTCCTAAAACTACTTTGCAAGCTTTTGTTATGGACATTGGTGCTTCCTCGGATGTGTCCACGCCCAGTGGTTGATGAAGGGAGAAGAGGAGTAGGACAGCTGATAGCTATTACCAAAAATATGTGCTTGTCTGCACTTCGGACTGTTCCATCATATGCAACCTCTATTTACCTTGAGTTAAAAACATCTCATCTTTTGTTTCATTCCTAAGTGGCCATTGTTTCCGTGGTGCTATAAACGTCAAGTTTGAAGTTGGTATCCAAGTGAGCAAAATGTGCATTATTTCAGTCCGTCTTGAATCATTCGTCTTGAATTATATCCCTAACTGACATCCTGTTATTTGTCCTGCAATGTCTGTGCCTGTGTCCGCCCTTACCTCCGGCTCCAGCCTCCAACCAGCCCTGCTGAGCTCTGTCGCCGGCGCGGTGTGTCGCAACGTGCTGTTTCTCCACTCCAGCCGACAGCTGCTAGGAATCGTTCTGTGCCATGCGCCATGCGACACAGCAATTGTAAGCTGCAGGTCACATTCGGACTGATTGGCTCCGCATATGTGCATCCGGCCGAGTGCTAGTCGATATCAGGGACGTTGGTCGGACTCTGACTGTTGTGGCGGCGTGCATTGTGCTGGTTGAAGTTGTTGTATTTCTGTTAGTGAAAGGCATTAATACATAACCATGGCCGCAGCCCAATGTTATTGTGGATTTCAGAGGGAGTGGCCAGTCAGGAGGGCCCCATGTGGGTATGGATCCAGTGTCCAGTGGGATTGGCTAAGATTTCCGGCGATTGATAAACGCTTCTATGATAGTACACCTAGTCCTATTGAGTTATGAGGGGAGGTGACGTGAGGGACCTGACCTTACTAAACTCTTGTGAAAACACGATACATACGAACGGTCAGAAACCGACAGCCATTCTTTCCGCCAAGTGTCATCTTTCTGTGAAGGATTTCTTTGCACTCAGTGTTCAGAAATTGCGTTGTTTTTGGACTGTGTAGAGGCTCACGAGCGACAACATAGCTCAACAACCTGACGTACCTTAAATATGCGACTTGTACCAGAAGATCCAGCTTGATCAAAAGATTGGACATGTCAAATTTCAGCTCTTTAGCTGAAAAGAATTTTGAGCTGTCGTAAAAACCGTCAGTGTGGCACCATATCGCCTCCCCGCGCGGTCGGAAGGTAAAAGTTCGCCGGCTCTAACTAAACAAATAGTCGTCGTATCGCAAATTCATTGACGGCGTTCGAAGCGTCGTTCAATTTACTTTCGAAACATATCCTAACATTAACATTTAACTGCCTAGCGCAATCTCCAACAAGCAAAAGTTCCGTGCATTCATCCTCATACAGTGTTAGCGGCCGCCGGCCGCCGGCCGCTGACCCACATTCGCGTCATCAGGGAATGCCGCAACTAATTTATTGTTTCCAACTTTTTTCCCGGAGCGTTCTACCTGGTTTATATAGCCTTGCTATGGTCCCCTCGGTCGCGGCGACATAAGTAAACAATAATCGCGCCAGATTTGAAACTTCTTCCCCAGGCATCATATTATTCCAATACCAAAGCTCTTTCTTATGACGTCACGAGATTTCACATGCAATTGACGAATCCCCGCATCAGATTGGTGAATTCCGAATTCTTGACAAAATGGAATTCCTCTTATCTGTTTTCATCTTGGGACTCGTAAGCTAAGGCGCAATTATCTGATAAAAAGAATATTGTCTTTTAGGTATCGCATGAATAACTGTGGGGTAAAGGCAGGGTTACTTTTACAGGAAAAGTTGAGAGGGAATAAAATTCGGGGAGGTCATGACCCCCCCTCCCTCGTCGGTTTCTACGCCGACGCCTGTACCGATATGCCGGGAGTGCAGTGGCGGATCCAAGGGGAGGGGGGCAAATAGGTCATGCATGACCCCCCCCCCCCCCCGGGGCCACCAAAGGTTTGTCAGGGACACCACGGGCGTGTCAGGGGCACCACAGGCCTGTCAGGAGCACCACCGGCCTCGTAGGGGCACATTGGGCCTGCCAGGGGCACCACGGGCCTGTCGGGGACACTTCATGCTTGTCAGGGCCAGGGGCACCACGTCCCTTTCAGCGGCACCTGCGGCCTAGCAGGGGCACCACAGGCCCCTCCCCCCCCAAAAAAACTGAAATTAGGGCGCCACCAAAATAAAGTGGCCGAAATCCGTTGAGTTTTAAATTTTGGGTATAGGTAGGGGCACCACTTCGATTAATGACCCTCCTCTTGGAGTTTTCCTGGATCCGCCCCTGAGTGAGTGCGAAAAGACAAGACAATAGACAATCCCACCGATCATCCGATCGGTATATCCGGTCAAATCTGGATTTCCGGATATTTTAAGTTCCGCCCGGGCGGTGCCACTGTCCAGTGTCCACACTCATTGATGATATCTTAGTAGCGCCAGCAACGTTGACTGATGACTAGAATCTGAATAGCGAATTAATTGAAAATGGGCTCAAAAATAATTTTGAAAAAGGGGGAACTTCACAATTCCCTCCCTAGCCATTCTGACACAATTTGAAAGAGGGAGCAGAATTTTCGAAGGGGGGAAATTCCCTCTTTCCCCCTTTAAAAGTAACCCTGGGTAAAGGATGAGATGGGATTGGCCCCGCCCGGTCCTTTCGCGCACCGTTGACGTTTCATAGATCTCAGGCAGCTTATGCCAAATTGTCAGGGAACTCAGATTTGTTTTTCAATAGAAAAACACAATTCTAACGAATAGTATTTAACTATTGACAACAAACCTTCGGTTATCGTCTATGGTGAAACGAGAACTCCTTCGAAGCTCCTACTCCGCTTTAGCAAGCAAGTAGGTACCTTGGTCCACACCGACTGACGCGATCAGGGCATGAACTGTAAGAATCTTGGACATGGACGCGATCCCTTTTGTTGTCTTGTCGCATGTTGGGTTCGGCTCTTTCGGTTTAATGACACCATCGCAGAGTCGGAAGAATGACCGGAATTACTGGGGAGACATTGGTCCTGGGTGGGCAGCCTGGTAGCCCGTCGGGGCTGAGCTGAGCCCATTACGAGGACAGGTCACCTTTTAGGGGATGTGAGATGACGCACTATAAAATTCACCTGACACTTCTGAAAGGAACTGAGTTGACGACCTAAGACTGGTCGCAACGGGTCCTGGGCCCACATTGTTATAAGAATTAAAACACTATGTTGCCGGCTACGGGCCTAAGAGAGACGCTAAAGGCCCTCAGATGCATGTACAACTTGCTTGGCCCTCGCCTCGACACATCGGGACCGACTCAGCACAGACTGGTGCCCCTACTGGGAAGCACAGTGACGCCAGAGCCTAATTTCTCAGACCAAACATTGATCGACCCCACACACCGCCCGATTAGACCTCTATAGTCGAAGCCATCAGTTCGGCCCAATGAACGACCCACAAGCACCCAACAGCCGAGAGAGCACACTGAAAGCGTCAAAACTTGGCACGGGTCGCTCCCGGTTAAAGGCCATTGATAAATCTAGGGTTTATTGTTAGAAGCGTGCCTACTCCCTACAATGATGAAACAGACCTATGCAAACTGTATTTCCGCAGGATTACATGTGGTTTGACCGAAACGTGCGCAAGCTGAATATGACCGATCCAATGCCATCGTCTTCGTACACGCAGGATTATCCAAACTGAAAAGCCATCTACCTATGAACTATACATGTGCACACCACCCGAATTATTCATCCACTGCCTAGTGCAGTGTGGTTAGTACGTTCTGTCACAACTGACCGAGTCAGCAATCCCCACTGCCTCTGATCAGGTGCACAAAGAGCAACAGTCATACAGCGTCCGGCCCAAGTCGGTAGGTCAGGGCTCCGGGCGTGGGGCGTCGGCCAGACGAGACACGACCTCTAGCCCTGCACACAGCGCGCTTAACACGTCACAGAGATACGCACTGCACCTGCCGAGAGCCCTGACCTCCCGAGTAGCGGACCAGCACACACAGTCGCGAGCGCTCACACACAAAAGCCGTCCAAATGTCAATCTTCTCCGCCAACCAGCGCACCGGCTAAGCTAGCCTCCTGGCCAGCTCAGTGGGTCTCCTGACCCGCTCAGCAAGCCTCGTGGCAGGCCCAGCGAGCCTCCTGTCGGGCCGAGCGAGTCTGCGAGCCAGCTCGAGCCGCCCGCCCGTCTTCGTCCGCCGGCCGCCCGGCGCAGAGCGTCCGCCAGCCGCTGGCCGGCACTGCCACCGCCACCGCCGCTGCACACACACATTGAGACACATGTGTCCTCGGTCGGCACTCTACCTTGCATCTGCGGCTCCGTTTGAGCCCAGACGCTGGTTCAGTCCGCCGCCGGCCGCCGCCGCCGCCGTGTCGAGCCGAGCCGAGTCGCCGAAGCGTCGGGGCCGACCGAGCCCGAGCGACTTACCTCCGGCCTCAGACAGTTCGACACTCACACAGCCACCGTGCTCCGCCCGCCCGCCGACCCGCCCCGTCCGCCGCCCGGCCCGCTGCTCCCGGGTGCCTCCAAAGATTGCTCGGCTGACTCGATGTAAAATGTATTGAGCCGGTGAGCTCAATGCAGTCGCGGGCGGCACGCGCGATAGAAGGCGGAGATAGAAAGAGCGGGACATGATCGGCATGACGCGGCGACGACGGGTCCTGAGCTCAGGTGGGCGGCTGACGAGTACCTCGGTATATCACAGGCGGTGGGCGGGCGCGGCCGGCGCGGCGGCTGCAGCCATCTCGCGGGTCCGGGGGGTTCGTCACCAGCGGGGGCCGGGTCCTCGGCCGCCCTCCATCCACGGACCTGCCAAACCAACAGACACACAGCGGATTAGCACAGTTTACCGGCCACAAACTGTCTGGGCCAACACTTCAGTGACATGGGAGTGCAACAGGTATAAAATGAAAATGGTTAGTCTTGGATCCAAGGTTTCCAATTCGCCATGAAACTTGAAAGAGCATAGTTTCTGTCATAGATAACATGAATCATGTTATCTATGTTTCTGTGTATCCTCATGGGGCCAATTCGTCCAATGACATTGGGGATAATTTGACCTTTGACGACCTCTAGTGACCTAACCTCTGACCTGATATTTTAAAATGACCAATGAAGATCAATGATGACCAATGAACTGACCAATGATCGTCGCGGAATACCAAATACTTCCTGTTAATTTTCAAAATTTTGAAAATCTTCGATAGTTTTTCTGCCGAAACTCCGAGTTGTATGCCTTAGCAAAAAACGTACTATTGGTTATTCCTCATTTATCTAAATGTCTTTAAAAACAATGTTGCAAACTTTTCTCGACAATCAAGTGCTACTTCTAAAAAAAGTGCTACTTCTTATAATGTGTCTCTATCTATGTTGACCATTGTTGAACATTTTTCAGTTATGTACCATGCTTCATAAAATAGTTCAGGCTGTTGTTTTGCCTCCAGATTAACTGTGATTGCACACTGCACGGTGAATCTAGCGAGCAATAAATTAAGGGCTTACTTTAGATCGTATTCCATCCACCTTATTAAACAGAGAAAGCCTGAGGGCGGGGAGCTTATAAGAGCCCTGTCGTTTTTTCCGTTCATAACATCCGCTAAGGCAAGAACATATCGTCATTAAACTTTCAAAATCATCAGTTTTGCGCAGTGTTCAAATATCGAACAAAACTCTCCATGACTGTTCTGTAGACGACGAATTCTAAAATATTTTTATTAAATCGTGCCCAGATCTTGCTACTATTAGATGAAAACGGTCTCGCATTGCATAAGCCATAAACGACGTCATAATCAAATTACATGACTAAAATGTATATTATAATAAAACGTGTCGCATAACCATACTTCTGCAGTATTATTGTTTTGAACTAAGTATAAAAGGGCGCTAATTCAGTAGTGTTACGAAACATTCTCAGCCAAGCTCCGGGTTGATAACAAACGAGTTCTCGCACTCTTGGGCGGGTGGCAGAGTGATACCAGCAGCCAATAGTTTTGTTTAAGGAAATCGTTCTTTTTTAACATGGAGTTTCGAACTGGAATAGCAGTTTTGTAGCTTGAGCTGAGACCAGCACAAATCAGGAGCTTTTACGGCCCAACGATCACCCTAGGAATGATATTCCATTTCTCGTTCCGAAAAGAGTGCCTTTAACAGGAGTGTGGTGCCTTAACCCGCGCCGGGCCGGTGCTCAGAGATTCCGCGCCGGGCCGGGGGGGGGGGTGTCTGAACACCCCCCCCCCTTCTAACTCGGCTCCTGGGCCACGTAGCGACACACAGTAAGCGGTAATCGAAAGAACGTCCAAAATAAGGACGGAAACACTTCGGTCATTTTTTGGGTCAGGTCAAAGGTCAGGTCACCAGAGGTCACCAAAAGGTAAAATGTTGACTATTTCAACATTTTGGAAACTGCCGACGGCTATCTCGGGAACCGATAGAGCTACAGCGCCGCGGAAAAGCGCATACGATAGCCCTTTCACAGACCTTCCTGAGTAATGTTCTCAGATTTGACCTCAGTTCAACGGTTTAGCCTCCAGAGGGCAAACACTCCAAAAATAGCCGTTTTTACGAAAAGCGTGTTTTCGGCAATAACTTTTGACTCAAAAGAGCCATGACATTACTTTTGCCAGCATCGTATTCCTCTCGTCGAGACGCGTCGAATGAACTATAATTTGACCTTGAAAGGTCAACTTGAAAATTTGACCTCAGGTCAAGGTCATGACCTGACCGGAAAAGGTCATGTTGCATATCAGTCGAACCGCAACGTCGAGCCAAACACATCTAAGGCGTTTTCAGCGCTCTAGCACGCCTCTATCAGAACTTATTAGCGAAAAACTGTTAGATTCTGTTCGTGACCTGAGATGACCTCGGGGACATAACGAGGGGTCACAGTTGCCATTTTCCGGTTCAGTGTGTCAATTTTACCTACATCTCGATGTTTGAGAGTGTCTAGAATAGCGTTCGTGCAAAACAGACGCCTTTCAATTTTCTCCCATTGACTTATAATGGAGAGGCCGCAAAATTGACCTGACCTTAGGTTACCGATATCAAAATTCCGAGATATATGTACATTTTATAGATAATGTTGCTCTTATCAATCGCTGAAAGTTTCAAGGCAATCGATCAGTCAGTGTAGCTATGACGAGCATTCCTATTTTTTCTGAGGTGAGGTCACTTGGCGTGACCTGGTGACCTGACCTAAGGCGACCTGGGTCTGAAATTTTCACAACATGTTCGGAAAAGATGCACGAACAGGTGTGCCAAAAACGCCGTTTTTGAGATATCTGCGAAAAACCGCAGTCAAACAATATTTTATATAGAATATAGTTCTTCCTATATTAAAATAAAGTTTTGTTTTCTTTGCTGCTCATTTTGAGCATAAAAACATAAATCTATTGCAAAAAAACTAATTTCGGGAAAGTGAACTATTCCCTTTAAAGGTAGACTGCCACCATTTTTTCACAAAACGGTTTTCACTAGAGCTGAGCCACCTATGTCCCAGACTGAAGTCAGTTTTCCGAAATTCGAACCCGTTTGAGAGAAATCGGAGACCAAAGTTCAGTTTGATGCCATTTTTTTAGTCCAAGAAAACCGACATCTCTACTGTTTATCGATAACTTTGAAACATGAATTTTCTTATCTTTTGGCAAATATATGTCAAAACTTTGATTGTTTCGAGATCAGAGAAGAATTTTGGAGTGTCAAAATAAAAGTTAAACTTATATATTCAGTAGTTCATTTTTTCCAAAAAAAGTGTGGGAAATGGGGTTTAACATGGGCCAGACCCATTCCAAATGAGCCATGATTTTTAAATGTTTTACGAAGTTAAATGCAAAATAAATTAAACATGGCCAATTTCTTATGAAATCATATATTAGTAAATCATAAAATACCTTACTTTTTCAAATAAAATGTAATAATCTTATGACCTTGAAGTCTAGTGATGTGTAAACATTGTCGCTAGACATTAACCGATTGATAATTGTATGATAATCGATAATTTTTTCGCGATTCACGTGATGATACTTTGTCAGGTGAATTCTAAAATTTTGTTTTGTCCAGGGAATAAATCATAGGCCGATCTGAGAAAACTTTTTGAAGGTGGCAGTCTTCCTTTAAAGGGGCAACACAATTAAACAATTAAATCGGATTATCGGCTCTCTATTCCGCAGAAATCCACAAATTCACCGTCCTCAATAAAAGCATCGGAAATGTGATGAATTAGCAGTAATAATGCCAACCAAATTTTCCAAACATGTTTCAATATTTCCGAGAATACAAGTTCCAGACTCTAAATTGATGAAAGCATTATTACACAAAATATGAATTTCGTGTTATGACAAAATCGAAACATTTAAATGGGCTTGCTCCAATGAAAATCGATATGTCCAGAAAGTGATATTCTACGTTATAATGCACCTTCTTTTCCATGACATTAATGACGCATCCATTTTAGTACACTATCAAATTTAGATCGCAAATCATCAAAGGCCAGGTAAAAGGCCAAAGTTACACTGTGCCCATAGACCGCTATGTAATGGTCTATGCTCTGCCTAAAAAAAAAACTATTGAGCACTGAGCCTATCCTACAATTCATTGTGTCCTATAGTAAGTTGCAAGTTATACGAGGGCATCATTTCCACCAATTCATTTTCTGGACATTTTTTGCATCTGTGACCTGGGGAAGGTCATAAACATGCCATATCACACAATTAAAACACAGTGAATCATGTGAATGTTCCTGTTCCAAACAAGCAGGCCATAACTACAGCCTACGTTCAGAATATTATATCGGAAATATCGGTAACTATCTGCAATGAACAGGCTGCAGCTTATGACCGGGATACGATATTAAAAAACGAACAATCCAAGTCTCTGATTACTAGTTACTGAGAAGAAACTAGTCGTAAAACAATGTGTGGGGCAAGTAATCTAGCGAATATTGAGTGGTCACCGCGTGCTTCGGGATTTACAAAAAAAAAGAACACTCGTGGCATAAAACGTCACTTCCACGACACATCGCATATCAATACAAAAACTTCTTTTAAAAGCTAAACAGCTAACGTTATATGTGGATGCTATCGGACGAGTTGCACAGTTGCAGAAACTACAATTACTGTAACCGAATACCGCGCTACTGAACCCTTCCCCGCTCCATCCCACTCCGGAGGCACAGAGCCGCGACAGCGTACCTGGCGGTCGCATCCCCATGGGCCGGGGCGCTCCGGGTCCGGGCGGACCCCGCATCCTCAGAACCCGACCGGGTCCTCCGGGTCCGCCACGGAACATGGGTCGCAGACCTGTCGGCACAGGAACGACAGGGGTCAGACGAGCTGAAGTACGGGACGTAGTGGGAAACATGGCGCAGGCCAAACGGGAGTGCAGATAGAGGGACGGAAGAGCAAAAAGATAAAATACTGCACTCGTACACCGGCTTTTATATAACCGCGGCGGGGAACAATGCAGCGGCAGAAGTTGCGTAGTGTTACCTACACCAAAAGCAGAAGCTAATAGGATGTCAATGGTGCCGGCAAGGTGCTCCGTGCGGTTTTCTATTGCGAGACGTTAAAAGCTAGACCCAGTATACCGTACAACGATAGTGTAGAGGTGTAGAATGATGATCAGATCACAGGTTACCAGAACAGCTGTATGATACATGCGGGGAGGCTGTGTTAATGAAGACAGCCCTTTCTCCCCTCCACTGCTCCACACACCGCGCCGTGCGCCGTGTCGTGTGGTGAGACGTCACGTACCCCTGATACCGGGCGGCGGCGGTCGGCGCGGGCCGTGCGGCCGAAACCCGGCGTCCACAGCGACCGGCGGCAGCAGCCGGTCACCGACGAACTCGTCCTCGGGCCGGCCTGGCGCGCGGGCACACCACCCGGCGTCAGTGGGCACTCACACCGCGGGCGCGACAAGATGCACCAACACCACAGCAACGTTACGTGAATGTGTTAGGAAAGATATTGAACCTGATCGTGCTGAAGAAAGATTACTGAAGGTAATTAAAGGATTAGTACATTTTACCAGAAATAACAGCTTCCTGAAGGGATCAGTAGTGACTTTAAAATGAAGAAAGTTAATTCTCCCATCACCGTGCTCTCATGCATTTTCGGTTCTCATGGATCACTCACCGGGTCCGGCGAGCATTCTCGGCGGGAACCGAGGCCCTCCCCGGGGCCCGCGGAACATGCCCGGCCTGCCGCGGCCCCGCGGGAACCCGCGGCCCGGAGGCCCGTCAAACTCCGGGTGACCGTCAAACTCCGGGTGGCCATCAAAGTCGGGATGACCATCATAGTCGTCGTATTCCGGCGGGCCGTCGTATTCAGGCGGGCCGTCGAAATCCGGGTGACCTTCAAAGCCTGGGTGGCCGTCGAAATCTCGTGGGTCTTCAAAATCCGGATGGCCATCGAAGTCGGGAGGGCCGCCGAAATCTCCACTGTGTCTCCGGCCCCGTGGCGGACCGTCAAACCCTCCACTAAGTCTCCGGCCGCGGCGGGGACCGTCGAAATCTAGGCTGGGTCGGCGGCCGCGCGGTGGACCGTCGAATTCAGGGCCCGGTCGACGGCCCATAAGCGGCTCGACGCCCAACGACAGACGCCGCGGGGAGCTCGGAGCGGCATCCTGTTGTGGCTGTTGTTGCTGCTGTTGTTGCTCGGTCGGCGGCGCATCCGCCGGTGGCTCGCTGTGTCCGGTCGTCGCCTCACCGCTGGCTGCGTTCTCCGACTGCTCGGCGGCCGCCGGAGCCGCCTGCGCTCCCTCCTGGCCAGCCGGAGCCGGAGCCGGGGCGGGGACTGGGGTCGAGTCTCCCGTCGGTGCCGCGGGCGTCGCCCCATCAGCCGGCGCCTCCGCCTTCTCTGCCGGAGTCTCGGCGTCCCCAGTGGGTGCGGCCGACGCAGATCCTCCTTCACTGGTCTCCATCTTGGCTTCCCCGTCACCGCTGTCAGCAGTAGCGGCGGTGGTCGTGTCCGGTGCCGGCGCTGTCGCTGCCGAAGCATCAGTCGTGCCCGAAGTGTCAGTCGTAGCCGGGGTGTCAGTCGTGCTCGGAGTATCAGCTGGTTTGTCGGAGCCGGAGCCAGCAGACGGCGGCTGCGACTGAGCGGCAGCGCCGGCAGGCGGCGGCTGAGGTGGAGCGGTAGCGCCGGCAGACGGCGGCTGAGGCTGAGCGGCGGCCCCGGGAGGCGGGATCACCAGCGGAGCCATCAGGGACGGGATGACCGGCTTGGGCTGCTCAGTGGGCTCCACGGTCGTCCATGAGGACAGCGGTGCGCTTGCTGCAAACAGAAAAAAATCATAGGTCAGCAAAGGTAAGTCCATGACACTATAATAGTGAAATATAGGAAGACGATGACAAATACATGGAAAATATAAGAAAACACAACACAAGCATGGCTGATAGCCTTATGTCAATCCAAGTTTCATGGAGCACTATGTCCATTGACGGTAGGCTCCCCCAGAGCCTTCATTTCTTCCCTTCCTTCCTCCCCACTCACCGGGAGCAGCGGGAGTGGGCTGCTGAGTCGGCGGCTGCAGCTGTGACGGCGGCTGCAGCTGTGACGGCGGCTGCGGCGGCGGCGGCTGTGACGACGGCCGGTCCGCAGACCGCTCGGTCCGTCGGTCCCGAGAACGTCCCCGGGAGCGGTCCCGAGATCGATCCCGGGAGCGGTCCCTGGAGCGGTCCCGGGAGCGTTCCTTGTCTCTGGATCGGGACCGGCCCGAGTCCCGCGAGCGGCGGTCGTCGTCGCCCCAGCGGCTGCTGCGCCTGTCGGGTAGGCCGTGGAAGGGTCAGTGCACCAGTGGGGGATATGGCGGCGAGCGACACCAATCTAGTGCGATGAAATATTTGTTGAGATTTATTATTTATGACATAGCCAGCGACGCAACAATCGATTTTACTTTTTTTAAAGTGACTGGACAGTGGACAGCTCCTGACACGCCAATCAAGCTAGATATTCAAAAATGAGCAGCCAACTATGCATTTGCTGATTGAAAGCCACACAAAATCCTCAACATGGATCAGTCAGATTACAGCTATGCAGGCAATCCCGCCCCAAGCACCGCCCGTCGTCGTCACCCACCTGCGGTCGTCGTCCCTGTCACGGTCACGGTCACGGTCACGATCCCTGTCGCGACTGCGGTCCCGCCGGAACCGGTCTCGGCCGCCCCCGCGGCGGTCGCGGTCGCGGTCACGCTCGCGTTCGCGCTCGCGGTCCTTTTCGCGCTCGCGTTCGCGCTGCCTGTCGCGCTCGCGCTGCGGCAGCGAGCTCAGACTGGTGTTGGCCAGGTTTGTGAGCCGCGACATCAGCGAGCGGTGACGCTCCTCGGCCTATGGGAGAAAAGAGGGAGGTCGGTGCGTCAAATGGTCACGACGAACCAACGGGCGAAAACACGAGGGGTTGGCAGGGTCAGCCTGACAGCAAAAAAAAAAAAAACGAAATTTGAAATAAGAGCACAAAAGTTGTCAGTTTCCCTAAAATAAATGGAACCGTTCTTCTGACTCCGCAATATATCACTAATGTCTGCATCAATCTCTCCGGTGACAGCTAGCTGTACTGTAGCATTGTGCAAAGAACATCTGAGAGTGCACAGCTTACATCGTCCTTTTCCTTTTTGGTGCTGTCCTCCTTCTTGGGCGTGTCTTCCTCGGGAGGAGGTCCGGCTCCCCACCGGCTGCCCCGCTGGCGCCGCGGCGTCTCCTCGCTGACGGTCAGGGAGGAAAGGGACGGGGTAATCAGCTCTACTCAACTGCAGCTTATCAGGTACATCGGCACAAAAGGAGACAAAGACGAGACGAAGAATATCATGGTAGGCACAGGTAGATTAAGAATGATGGAACAGGAAGAACGATGCTAAGAAAACATTGAAAAACATCCAGAACAATAAGCTCACTGTGACATATGAATATCCTTAACCCTCGCACGACCAGGCCATTTCTCATAACACGAACGACCAGGGGGGGGGGGGTTGTTACGACCCCCCCCCCCTAGCGTTTCGAAACGGAAGGTCGTAGAGCTTAGCGGAAAAAACCAACGGATTGCTCTCAACGAGATCTCGCGATTGGTGGTATATTTTTTGGTCCTAGGTCAACATTTGACCTACTTTTGACCGGTCAAAGGTCAAATTTTCGGAAAAATAGACTTTTTTCAACTTTCCGCGGCGATTGCGGCAAACCGGTGAGATATCGACTTGAAACCTTCACTATCGTGTTCCTTGATCAATTCTCTATCGTTTGGTATGTATTTCGTTTCCCTAGCTCTAAAAATGGCGCGTTGGGAGCGCCGGAAGTCGGCAAGGTCACAGTCGGCGGCAGAAATTCGAAAAATCAAAATTTAAATTTTTGAAATCTGATTGTATTTTCGGATTTGGGAGGTCCATTTGCTCCCTATAGAAGCTAATATTGCTGCATATTCCCATTGAGGTGACAAGAATTAGCAAAATAGTGGTTCGGGCGCTTTTCAAAAATAGTACCGGACGCTGTTCCTCTTATGACGTCATAACTCCGTGACCTGACCTGACCCGGTCAATTTTCTTGCACCACACGATAGCCAATGCTTGCCCCAACATGCATGGGAAGTTTCATCATGATCCATCAAACAATGTGGGTATCACCGGCAGAAAACCTAGGGATTCGGCGCACACGTTTGGTAACTGTCGGCCGGAGGCTGTACCTCTTATGACGTCATAACTCCGTGACCTGACATGACCCGATCAATTTTTTTTCGGCAAAAGATGCGCAAAGGTTGCCCCAGAGGGTATTGAAAATTTCAGCCCGCTACGACAAGCCGTTTAGCGTGCACTTCGAAAAAACCTCAGGGGGGGGGGGGGGGGGGTTGATACAACCCCCCCCCCCCCTAGGCGTTCTAGGGTTAAATTAGTATGTCATAGATAAAGCTTTCGAACCAGGTGTGCGAACCTGCATCCCGACTCCCCCTCCGTCCCTCCCCCGATCATCTTTCTTTATTCCGTTCCTCGTCGTCTCTTCCCTACTACACCATACCCAGTCACCTCTCCCCGTCTCAGCGCTCACCGTCTGCCGCCGTGCGGCCCCCTGGGCGGCGAGTCGGGCTCCCTGCGACCGTTGGTCTGTGGCGGCGGCGGACCCGAGTCGGTCTCGAGGTCCATCGGTTCGCCGGCGCTGGCCGGCACCGGGACGGTCGGCGCGACACCGGGCGGCGGCAGTCCCAGCAGAGAGGTGGGCGGCGGCAGAAGACCTCCGCCGCCGCGACCGGCTCCCATCAGAGAGGCGATGGGCGGCGGGCCAGACAGCGGCGGCAGTCCGGCTAAGCGGCACACAGACACGGCGTCAGGGCGACCGGGACACAGAGCTCACGGCAAAGGCCAAAGAGTATCAGTCAGATGAAGTCAGAGGCCCCGATGTCGTTTGGGTTGAGATAAAGAACAAAACATTCGAAGCTTTAAAAAGTTCGTTAACAAAAAGAAAGCCGAATTAGTTAGTATGCTCCCCGTAATATATACACAAGCACTGACGCGGCATCAAATGTCCAACTGTACCGCCGTTCGTCCACCCCATTCACCTGCTGTCGATGTGATGAGGTGGCGCGGCGGCTGGCCCGGCAGACCGGGCAGGTTCGGCGGCGGCAGGTCCATCTGACCCGACCCCATCAGCGGGGTGGGACCCAGGCCCGGCGGCAGGCTCTGCAGGTTCGGCCGCAGACCCTGGGGTAGGTTCTGCAGGCTCTGCTGTAAGCCCTGGGGGAGGTTCTGCAGGGTCTGTTGCAGGCCCTGCGGCAGGTTCTGCAGGCTTTGCTGCAGGTTCTGGGCCAGGTTCGGAGGCAGATTCTGCAGGTTCTGCTGCATGTTGGGCGGCATGTTCTGAGTGATGCTCTGGGGGATGCTCTGAGGTATGTTCGGCGTCATGCTCTGTGATATGTTCGGTCCCGGTATGTTCTGCTGCAGCTGCTGGTTGGTCACGCCGGGCGGCGCGGACATGAGAGGCTGGCCCAGCACGCTGCTGGCTGACGGTAACATCGACGGCGGCGGCATCCCCATCGGCGGCATGTTGAGCAGCGGCGGCCGCGCGCCGCCAAATGGTACGTTCATGCCCATGCTCACCGGCGCTGCGAGGGAGGGGGACGGGAGAGTTAGTGACTATAGTAAAGGAACAGCCGACAGCCTGCGGTGTGACCCGATTCTGTACTGTCGTTGTTGTGTATATGAACACAAATAAAATAACAGCGAACACGCCGGATTGAATAATTATTCATAATAGCAAATCAGCTTTACAGCTGCACAGCTACACAACGGTCATCAATTACTTTCACATGCAACAAATAACGACACAAGCACTCTAGGCATCCCGCCTCATCCCGTTGCCCATCAACCAGGCTGCAGGCACCGCCTGGCTCAGCCAGAAGCCGTGTGTCGTCACTCACGGGTCCGGGGGGCACAGGGATACTCACTCCGGAGGGATACCAGGATACTCACGGGGTCCGGAGGGATACCAGGATACTCACGGGTCCGGAGGGATACCCGGATACCCACGGGGTCCGGAGGGATACAGGGATACTCACGCGGTCCGGAGGGCAGCAGCGGCGGCGGGTGGCTCGTCTGGGGCGGCTCGCTCTGGCTGACCGCCATAGGCGGCTGCAGCTGCGGCAGACTGGTGGGCGGCAGGGCTCCGTACGGCGCGCCGGGCACGGGCGCCGCCAGACCGAGCGCCTGCGGCGGCTGCAGCTCGGTCGGTATCGGCACGGAGGACACAGGTAGCTGGTCCATCTGGTGCAGCTGCTGGTACCGGCCTGAGGGAAGGGGAGTAGTCAGCCGACGTTGTCGTCATGGGGTCGGCACCGTCATGGGTATGTTCGGGAGGAGTGGGACAGCTAGTTTGGCAGCTCGGCGCCACCGCACACCCATAAAACGCCAGCATGAGCATGGTTGAAAAAGGGAATGGTATACAATCACGGTGAGTTGAGGACATCTCGCTGGTTGACAGGAGTCCGATGTAAATGGTTAATAATTTTATAGCATTCCCAGCACATCACTGCTATAATAGCTTCACATGTCGAATCATCACGCCAATGACAAACAACCATCAAGCGGCACATGTAGTCTCCATTGTCATCCCACCCAGCCGCCACCCTCCTCCCACGCTATCCAGCTCACCTCTGAGCCAGTCGGGCACCGACTCCTCGTCGATCATGCCGCCCTCCTCCATGGCGTCCAGGTCGCTCATCAGCGTCAGCCTGTTGTACGGGATGTACGAGCAGCCTGCCTCCACCTCCCAGTAGTCCTTGAAGTCCTTGCCCTTCATGCCCTTGCCAGGCGCCCACGCAATCTGCAAAAAATAGGCGAGAGTTGGATATCAGTCAGTAATTAGGTACCCGGAAGATCAGAGTCATACATTACCAAGCCATACAGGCTTGGAGCCCGGCCCGCTAAAAGATAACGCTGGGACAGTGGTAAGCATTCCAAACAAGTTATCACACAGAAAGACGTAACATGTCCTTGGCGCAAGACGTATCTAATGGCGGGACGATTGGCATGAATGAATGAATAAGTGACCTAAAGAAAAACGGTAAACAGCTTACAATATTCGGGATGCATCATACAAACATCAGTAACACTGCAAACTTGTCTGTACTTCAGGACGTAGTGAATGTAAAACGGCGCTACACCCTAGAAGCTCCGACCAGCAACTCTTCACACCACAGCCTGCCGATCTGCCTACACTCACCGTGATGGGTTTGCCCTGCATTTTGTGGTTTTTCAGCTTGAGCAGCGCGCGCGCCGCGTCCTGTCGCCGGTTCATGCAGATGAAGGCGCAGCCGCGCGGCGGGATCAGGTCGATACTGAGCACGTCACCGTACTCCCCGAACAGGTCACTGAGGTCCTCCTGGTGCACCAGCTTTGAGAGGTGGCCCACCCAGAGTGTGGTACTGCACACTGCAGACGCGAGCGGAGAGACATGGCGGTCAGACGGAGAGCTTACGACCAAGGCGGTAAATATCAGGCATAGGCGAGATAGTCTCGAGGCTTCATAACCGATAATAAATAAAAAGTATATAAAGTAATAATAATAATAAGTAATAAAGTATAATAAACCGATAATAAAGTACAATAAATGAATGACTCCCTAGTGTGACTTGCCAAGGTGTGATATAAAGATGAAAACGCTTTGAGCTAAATCGGGGCATTAACGCAAGTCAAGCTGAGGTGTGTCCACCACAAGTACATTTCAATTATCAGCTCAATTCATACCAGTAAAACGCCTTTTGGGCGAAGAACGAGCGAGCGAGATAGTGAGCCCTGCACGTGCGCAAGGACGAGAGGGTACTTCCAACGGGTTTGTGCAAAGCACCCTTCTAACCGGTCGCTAGCGGTGTGCCAAATTTGAACGCAATCGGCCCAGCCGTTGCTGAGATCTGGAAGCGGCATTCTGCACGTGCGCACGTGCAAGCGGGGTCCAAACTGACTTTTGCACGGCACCCTACTAACTGGTCTCCAGCCGTGAACCAAATTTGAGCGCAATCGGCCCAGCCGTTCTCGAGATCTGGGAGCGCCCCCTGCACGTGCGCACGTGCTGTAGCACCCCAACCTTAACACATGCAGATGAATTATCTGATGGAGACCTAACTGTGTACCGAGTTTCAATTCAATCGGCCCAACCGTTGTGCCGTTATTGAGGTTGCAATTTTGGAGTTCTTAAAAAATGTCCAACTTTACCACGCGCCACGTGTGGTGGTTGTCAAGAACGCATGGTGGCCATCACACCACAGAACTTTTACTTCCAAGTGACATTCAGTAAAGAAAACCGCTTGTCAATCGGATGTCCCGTTCCTAAGATATTAGCTTTTTAAGAGCGTCCCCACGGCCGGCCGGCCGGCCGGCCGGCCGCTCATACTCAGGATTTTCCCTTAATTCAGTATGAACTCGCTCGCTCGCTGCGCTCGCTCGCTCGTAATCAGCTACAACCACACCATACCCTGCTCTGGCACCACGCCAAGTTTCAGCAGCCCGCTCGAAGTCGACTATTACACCCACCTCCCAGATGATCCGCCTTGAGGTCGGGCAGACCACGCTTCTTCCTCTCCCGCTCTCTCTCCCTCTCTGCTTCTCGCTCTTTCTCACGCAGCCGTTCCAGCTCACGCTCTCGTTCCCGCTCCCGCTCACGTTCGCGCTCTCGTTCCCTGCTGCGGGAGCGGCTGCGCGCGCGTCGGCCGCGGGAGCGCGACCTATCGCGACCGCCGCGCGACCTCCTGCCGCGGGACCGCGAGCGCGACCGGCTGCGAGAGCGGGAGCGGCGCCGACGGCGGGAGCGCGAGCGCGAGCGGCTCCGGCGGCTCCGGTCACGCTCGTCCCGGTCCCTGTTCAGAGAAAAAGGAGGTAGTGGTGTTAAATGAGGAGCTGGGTCGACACTGAGAGGAACAACGTAGTCGTGTTCGTATAGCGTATTCGTAGCAACGCTCAGCAGAAGCATCAGCGTTATTTCCACGGTAGAGATGAGTATATGATACGGCTGACGGTAGAGAAATCAAGATAATATGCGAATAAGTACGCTGAAAAAAGCAGCATGGCATTAAAATAACACACCAATGAACTGCGATTAATATTCCAAGCTACACTTCCTTCACGTTAAATCCAATTTCGCTCATCCTTATCCCGTCCACTCGATCGTCTATCCCATCCACGAGTCCCGCCCCCTCCCGTCCCGACCGGCACCTGGTGCGCTCGTCGCCGTCCGTGTCCGGTCCCCGTTCGCCCTCCTCCAGCGGGCTCTGGTGGCGGCGCGCCGGCACGGCCAGCTCGGGCACCTCCAGACGCATGTCGCGGTCACCGGTGGCCGAGAGGGGAGCGGTGGACATCATGGCCATCTCTCCCGGCGCCGGCGGTTTCAGCTCTATCTCACTGGCGAACGGCAGGTTCTGTGCGGTGCGAGAGGGCGTACAGGGGAGGGTCAGATGGTGCACAGACGGGGGAGGTAGAAACGGGCGACAAAGATTATAACACAGTCCACAGAAGACTTCGGAGATTGTCGGAAGGTCACAAAATGATCTGTGGTCACTGAATAAGGGGTGAAATGCTTCAAAAAGATGCGAGTTATCCAGCTGGTAAATATAAAAGCGACAATGTTATTCAAATACAGAGGATCAGAGCTCTTGTAGTGATCGAGGGAGAACGACCAAGCAACATTCGTGACTTACGCCGACCGTCTGGGCCAGCTGTTTGTCAAACTCGTCCTCTTGCTGGCGGAACTTGCGCTCGCGCTCGGCCTGTTCAAGCTGCTTCTGAGCCTGCAGCGTCTGCTGAAGGCCCTGTGGAGACGTGACAGACTGATCAGCGGTGCGGATGGGCGTGTAAGGTGGGCATATGGTCAAAAGGAGCCTAATTATAAAAAAGACACGATCAAGCACCGCCCAGCATCAGTCAGGAAGTGCAGAACACTAAATCCGCTATGACCATTGACCATCCCCATGGCGACGGGCAAGTTATATTCTACCAAAAGTTTGGAATCCATATCGTTCAAAAAATCATCAGCCGTTGCTGCATGGATCAGCGTTAGCCACGCTATTTCCGTTATCAAAACTTTAAATCGAACACCCACCGCTACCAACCACCCTCCGTCCCAAGCAGGGATGCGGAGCCGTGGAAATTTCAGACGGCTCCGGCTCCGGCTCCGGAGAAAAAAAAATCGGCTCCGGCTCCGGCTCCGGGTGAAATGTCATGGCGGCTCCGGCTCCGGCTCCGGCTCCGGCTCCGGCTCCGAGTAAAATGATCCGGCTCCGGCGGCTCCGGCTCCGGAGGCTCCGGCTCCGGAGGCTCCGGCTCCGGCTTATACTCAGTACATCCCCTATGCGATCAATTAAATACGGGTAGAAGAAAAAAGGCGATGGGATTGGTACACGTTGCTTCTGTATTTGTATAACAAGGCTATTTTGAATACCACATTGTTTTACGCCTTGCACTGTCAAACCGAAATAGGTAAATAATTGTTTCCTCTTAAGAAAAGGAGCCGGATTCGCCCCCTTTTTTGACGGCTCCGGCTCCGGGCTATATTGTTTCACGGCTCCGGCTCCGGCTCCGGCTCCGGGCAAAATATGCCGGCTCCGGCGGTTCCGGCTCCGGCTCCGGCTCCGCATCCCTGGTCCCAAGCGGGCCGTACCTGTAGCTGTTTGAGTACGTCCGGGTTGGTGAGAAGCGTGCCCAGAGTCTCCAGCGAGGGCTGCTCGGGCTGTTTGAGCGCCCCGCCGCCGCCCGGCGTGCCGTCCGGCTCCTCGTCATAGTCAAAGTCGTCCTCCAGTAGCCGCTGGTTGAACTTGGGGCCCGTCTGGGGATAGATTGGGTGAGTTAGACCACCAGGTAACTAGGTTTGAGTTGTGAGTACCCCGACTGTAAACAAAATCGCTGAGCGACATAGGTTTGAGGGAGACTAGGCAGACGTTACCGAAAGATCAACCAAGCACGAGCCCTGAAAGCGACGTCCTACTACTTGAAAAGCCTACGGCTACTGCGACAGACGTTGATCGGGGCCATAGCGCACCGCTGCGGCGACCAAACCGCTCCCCCGTCCCGCTGCAGGCTAACCGACAGAGCAACACTACGCACCTGCTCCGGGGTGGCGGTGGGCTGTGCCAGCAGCGACTGCAGCTGGTGCAGCTTCTGAATGAGAGTGGGATCCACCTGCGCGCCACCACCGCCGTCCGCCTGCGCGCACGGCACATAGTGGCAGATGGTCAGCACGCAGCGACGCGTGGAACGACACCGGGCAAACGAGAAGGCGCCACTCGGCACGGAGGTGATCAGAGTCAGACTCAATTTCAATCCGACCATAATTTTAACCCATTCATTCACTGACCTAGCTGCACCCTACTGACAGACCGACCCCAGAAGTGCACAAGCCCATCCCCTCCCCGTCTGTTCGCTGTGGCCGCCACTCGCCTGTCGAGCCGACGGAGTCGTCATTTGGTCGCCGCCGGCCGCAGACGCGCCCGAGGGCGTCGAGCCGGCCGCGGCCGTCGTCGCCGCCGGCGTTCCCTGCTGCTGCAGCTGCTGCTCCTTGGCCAGAATCTGCTGCTCGATGGCGCGGCTGGTGGCGCTCTCTGGGTCGGCCAGGTCGAATATGGGCTGAATGACCTCCGGCGGGAACACCTGGTTCTTCTGCCACAGGTTCAGTACTCGGATCACCTTGCTCTGTGAATGTGGACGGGAGACGGCGACGTCAGGTAAAAAGGACTTCGCTATTGAGCTGGTGGACAATGCGAGTATAAGACCACGTATATGCTTATTTATAAAAAGTCGAATTTATTCATCCATCTATGCAATGCATACAATGTAAGTTTGGAGAAATGTAAAAGTATAATTATGTTTTATACTTCTACTGTATAATATATAATTACAAAATGTAGAAGCATTAGCTGAAAAACTGCAAGGTGATACGCACGTCCGAAATTAATGTACAAACCACAATTAACCAAATCAAACCGTCTTTCTCACCTTATCCTCTGGCGGACATTTGAAGATGTGGTAGAATGTGATGGAGAGGTTTTTGGCGAAGCGGGGCGCGAACACGTCCCTGTCGACGCCGAACTGGTGGCGGGACTGACGCACGATCGAATCGATCACGTACAGGCCAGGAATTTTGTACTCGGTGCGGCACTAAAACGGAACGCACACCGGCGTGTGTCATTGGTCTTGGTTGGAAGGGCAGCCCGACAACATTGATCATCGCTGGTATGCGCAGGGTTGTGCTTGACTCATGAGTCGAGTCGGAAATTTGACTCAACACTGACTCAAATGAGTCAGGTTTGAGTCGAGTCGGATAAAATGTTGAGCTGTTGAGTTGAGTCAGAGTTGAGTCGGACAAAAATATTAAGGTGTTGAGATGAGTCAGAGTTGAGTCAGTAAAATAACTTGACATTGAGTTGAGTCAAAAACATTTCGGAACATGAGTCAGCTGACTCATCTTTCTAGAAACAATATATATATATATATATATATATATATATATATATATATATATACATATATATATATATATATATATATATATATATATATATATATATACATATATATATATATATATATATATATATATATATATATATATATATATGTTACAGGGAGTTTGAGAAATCCGTGAGTTTGCAAACTCCCTAGGGAGTTTGCAAACTCCCTAGGGAGTTTGCAAACTCCCTGACCCATCAGTGAGTTTGCAAATTCACTAGGGAGTTTGCAAACTCACTGACCGGTCAGGGAGTTTGAGAAATTCCAGAGCGATTGGGACGAATAAAAACAGGTGTGCAGCATGTGGGTGCCATACGTGCCGTCCGTGTTGTTAAAACAAAGGCGGCTAGTTGTACGGCCTATTTAACAGTCGCACGCTGAAAAAAAGCCTGCAGATCATATGCACACCATAAATGCCTACTTAAGATTTTAAACTGTTCAGTGATCTAGCCCAAACATGTACCGCCGCTTCATTTAGTCATACACTTATTTAGTTCACGTCCCAATTATAGATCCGTTCCACACGTATGCCTTATATGCTTTAGCATAAATGACCAACTGAGCTGTTTCTACTTTGATACACTGAGCCTGACTCTGGAATAGCCACACTTGTGTGGAGCGGATACAATTGGGCCGTGAACTAAATAAATGTATGACTAAATAAAGCGGCGCTACATGTTTGGGCTAGATCACTGAACAGTTTAAAATCAAAAGTATGGTGTGCATATGATCTGTAAGCTTTTTGTCAGCGTGCGACTGTTAAGGGTGCGTTTCACGCGTAACGCTATGAGAAATGTTTTTCGTGAATATCTAGAGCATCGTTGCTTCGATTGCCTTCGTTTTTGGATATGTTATGAAGGACGTTAACCTCGTCATCACAGAGTGGTTACCGTTGTTCTGCAATCCACGTATACTGAGCAATTGAGACAAACATATTGCAAAATCAAAATTTCAAACGAATAGAACTCAATAGCGGATTGTCGTACGACTGTGATGTTTGCAGTTTTGGACTGAAGAAGTCAAGGAAAACATTTCCTAGCAAGCCTTTTTTCAAATTTTGTACTATGTTTTGCATGATACAATTTTCATCTTGCAGTGCATTGCATGAAAGCCATGACAACAATTTCAAAAATGTGGCTGCTAGGAATCATAAAGACATCGATTCTCTACACAATCCTGTAGAGTGAATCATCATTGCATGCATCACTATGCAGTTCTATTCATTTGAAAGTAATTGCACAGCTAGTTCATAAAATCGCCGAGAGATGTCTCTGGCTGTATGGCCCGCGCGTTTCGACGGTCCCCTCGGCTCGTCACTCAGCGGCGTTTGTTGACACAGTGTCACACCCATTAGTTACGGCGCTCCGCTGGCGTTCGGCCGCCGTCGAGGTGCTCTGAACCCTCCCTGCTAAGTTTCGCCGTGACTAGACGGGTCGGAGGCTCATCCCACGATCTATCCATGAACGGCGCCCAGCCAGGCGTCTCCTATCGCGCGCCTCTCACTCTTGATCGGGAGTACGCCGGGAAGAGCTTGTGAGAAACTGACAACTTTGAAAGAAGTCAGTTTGTGTGAGTGGTATTACGAACAGCGAACAGGTATATTTTGACAATAGGTATTTGACCTGACCTGGGCAGTCGGTACTGAACATAAATAATGAATATAACCGGCAATACCTACAAATTCCATGGAGACATAGACCCCAAGTGACGTGAGACCAAATGTCAGTTCGGCTGTTATGTCAAAACCCTCGTCCTGGCAGGGTATTTTTCATACCCCTCCCCCGGCGTTTCGAAACTGGATGAGCGTCGTAGCTCGCTTCGCAACAAAGAGCAGTCGATTGCTCTCAACGAGCCTACCTACTCGCGATTGGTGGTATATTTTTTACCCGAATTCAATATTTGACCCAGTTATGGCAGGTCAAAGGTCAAATTTCGGGGAAAGCTGCAATTATCCAAATTACTAAGCAAATATTGGCGAATCTATGAAAGATAGCGACATTAAACCTTCATGACCGTGTTTCTCAACGAATCAGCAACAAAATGATGTATAATTGATTGCATTTCAGTCAAACTAGCGTCTCTAGAGATAGTTTTTCACGTATCACTTTTGAAGTAATACCTAAAGCTCGGCAAAAACTGCATAATATGCAATTAGCAGCATCGTAATCCTCTCGTAATTTCGCCTCGTAGCAGGCAAGCATACGGTCCGGGACTAGTGATGTCAATTACAGAAAATCGGAATACCGATACCAAACCAAATACCGACCAAAACCGTGGGGAAATACCGAAACCGAACCAACTTTAAAAGATGAGGGAAATACCAACTTTTTACGAATTTCTTAGCCTCTTATATATTAGTAAGGGTTCATAATACCAACAAAATACCAAACACATTAGGATTGAAATACCAAATACCAAGTTGGTATCGGTTTGGTATCGGTATACCAAAAAGTTGGTATCCGATTGACATCTCTATCCGGGACATCAGACATCAACATGTCTAGCTTCTGTGGACTGATCTTGGACCAGACAGATCGAACGTTCCTGGTCAGCGTGCGTTCAGGTTATCCTGGCGCCGTTTTGCTCATCTCTTACAGGACGATCGCCCAAAGATTTTCTATCGGCGACAGGTCGGGGCTATTCACCGGCCATTTGTCCTTCTCCCAGAATGCTGGGAAGTTCGATATGTACCAGCCCTTCGTCGTTCTAGCTCGATGAGCCGGGGCGCCGACTTGTTGAAAGATGGCCCTGGACATGTTCAGCAGAAGTTTTCGGCTGGAAACGTGGCTTGTTGGGCTTCAGCTTTAGAGACATCCTCCGGTACCGATGGATTATCCATTTGAAGACTGGGTGACTGTTGGCAATCAGCCTCCTTGCCAGTTTCCTTGTGGATAAGCCCGTCTTTAGCTCCGCACTTCGCGATGGCGATCTGCGCTGTCCCGGCTGGCGGAAGTCTTCCTGCCGCGACCTAGCTTGTTCCCAGGCGTCTATCCGCTTCTGTCGCGTGATAACCAGCGCCAAATCGTGCGACAACTCATGCCCAGTACCTCGGCGACCTGGCCGTGGGTCATGCCACCGGCAACCATGCCGACTGCCCCGCTGCGGGACGATTTGCTCTGCAGTTTCGCCATCCTGGACACCTGGTCCGCGCGCGCTGGGTACTGTCTCGGAAATGACCTCCGTACACCCCTTGACTGGTCAGGGTCACAAAAATTCGAAGGTCACGTGACTACAATGTAGCGTATAAGATCTGGGAGCCAGTACCGGTGAAATTATACTGATATTGCGCAGAAGAAGGCAAAACAAAGGTTGTGTGAGGGTGTGACATTAATTTTGGGACACCCTGTACAGATAGTTGCTAAAAGACGTCACTGATACCAGGTCAGGTCACAGAGGTCAGGTCACCAAGGGTCAACACATGAACCAAACTTTACAAGGGCCGTGTGATGCATGTTTTGTGACCAATTTTTCATTTCCAACGCAATGGTTTTGGTTAGACGACCATGAGGGACGGTTTAGGTTACTTTCTGTTGGAGGTTAGGTCAAGGTCTGGTAATAAAAGGTCAAATTTCGAAGTTGCTACTTTTGCATAAAAAGGTTACCTTTTTCGATGTACCTCATCACGGGGAATCCAATCCGTCGCAAAACGTCCACAATTTTGCGACCGATACACACGAACTCGATTACGACACGCTGACGTTTTGTGATACAATTCGAAAGCTCTGACCCGAACGATTTCTTGGGGGACATAAGTCCGGATGAACTGATAAGATTCCGAGGCATACAAGTTGTAGCTACCAATGGCCTTATTACATCGTGCACTGCATCGTGCACAATACATCGTGTATTGTTACATCTGTTTCAAAGGACTCGGGTATTCACTGTAGCCCTGAAGCGGTGACAAAATTGCAAAGAAAGTGTTTTATAAAGCATATTCTTCTGTGCCTTCTGTTGCGATAGTCCGTTGCTATACAGTGTAGCTCATGCTGATAGCAGAGCTCATGCAATAACCCGAGTTTCGAGCATCTAGGATATACCTGAACTGGGTGACCTAAACTTCTGAGGGTTCCACAATTTCACACACGATGAGAAAATGATGTATGATAAGCTATGTCAAGTTTCGCGGCGCTTATACGGGCAAAAAAAAAACTTGCAAGTTTGATCAAAAAACGCCCAATTTCCCCAAGCGCGGATTAATGAAGCTAACACTATGAATGTGACTGAAGCTGCTTTCCTGTACCTCATTCTGTTAGCCCTTTCATTTTTCCGGTCTTTCCCTATCCGTGTGTGTCGGCGCGGGTTCGGCCCAATGTGGTTCGACTGAGAGCATGACATCTGGTCCTTTCCGCCCGGCCAGACCGGCGCGGTGGACCCGTGCCACTCCTCCCCGAACTCGCGGGGCGCGGATGGGGAGGGGCGGCCCGGCAGCCCAACCCCTCTGCGCTAACAGATGGATGGACAGGGGAAATGTGATACTTGTCCTATGACAACAAACCGGCGTTCAGCGCTAGGGCCATCTACTGGTCTAGAAACGTATCTCTATGTCAGCAAGATCCTCGCCAGGTGGTGTAAAGGTCGCGTGAAACGCACCCTTAAATAGGCCGTACAACTAGCCGCCTTTGTTTCAACATAATGGACGGCACGTATGCCACCCATATGCCACACACTTGTATTTATTTGTCCCAATCGCTCTAGAATTTCTCAAACTCCCTGACCGGTCAGTGAGTTCGCAAACTCCCTAGTGAATTTGCAAACTCACTGATGGGTCAGAGTTTGCAAACTCCCTAGGGAGTTTGCAAACTCACGGGTTTCTCAAACTCCCTGTAACATATATATTTATATATATGTAATAAAAATGAAAGGTAAATATTAAAGACTAAAAAATAATTGTGAATTTTCATTTTGCAATGTAATTATAATGAGAGTCATATGCGAAAATTGCCATCAAATACCGCTAATATTTCATAACGATTATGCCAATTATTCACAGACATTCTAAAAAACGAAGCATTCGAAGAAAATAATCTAGGCAATTTATTCAATTTCTAGCTGACAGCCTGCGATAATTTTGGCACTCACCTTCTGGAGGAACTTCTCAACACTTTGTACAGCATGCTTGTAAAACTTGATGGCTCGAATGGCCCCCTTGGTGAGCGATGTCATCTTCACCTTGGATATCGGGGGTTTCTGGTCGTAGAGCGACGTGAGCTGAAACACAAATACAACAAATATCCATGAGAGCTTACGTAGCAAAAAAAGTAATAATAAAATGAAAATAAAGATAAAGTAGCAAAAGTAAAGACGTTAAGTGACGAAACAAGAAGTAGCTCAAGAAGTAAAGAAAATCATTGTAATTGTTAATGATGATAGCCTTGACTTATGCTCATACAAATAAAACACCATGAAAAGGATGCAGGTTGACGCCTTGAGTTTTGGGGAATCACCCGGCAAAACGAAATGGTTAACTCGCGCCTCGCTGGGGATCCTGGATTTCCTCGCCCCGCTGAGGGGGGGGGGGGGGGGAGGGCGTTTGAGCACCCCCTTCCCCAGCTAACCCGGCTCCTAGGCCACGTAGCGGTACGGGGAAGGCCGCGTTCGCAAGAGCGTCAAAAATAATGACGAAAATTACATCGAGCGCTTTTTCGGTTAGGTCAATGGTCAGGCCACCAGGGTCTCGTTTCATAAACCGAGTCCGTAACTTACGCCGGTTTTTGGTCTTGTATTACAAGTGCATGTGAAGCGATAAATTATTTCCGCTTCTCCCTTCTGTTCTTGCTTGCTAGATACATAAATTCAACGGTTCAAACTAACGTCATAGCTTCACATGCACTTGCAATACAAGATCAAAAATCGCCGTAAGTTACGGAATCGCTTTATGAAACGAGGCCCAGATGTCATCGAAAGCAAACTTCGCCGATTTTCAGGTTCAATGTCGACAATTTTCAACATACCAACGAATAACTCGAAAACCAATAAACTACAGCGCCCCGGAAAAGCGCATTTGATAGCCCTTTTGACGTTCTTGTTTAGTCATTCTCTAAAATTTGACCTAAGGTCAACGGTTTTGTCTCCAAGGGGCAAGCACTGTCAAAATAGATTATTTTTGCGCAAACAGTTTTTCACAACTTTTGACTCAGACCTTGCACGAGTTTAATTTTACCAACATCATGTTCCTCTCGTCAAGATGCATCGAATGAACTATAATTTGACCTTGAAAGATTAACTTCAAAATTTGACCTAAGGTCAAGGTTATGACCCGACCGGAAAAAAAAATATGTTGTATAACATTTGATTCGTATTGTCGAGCTGAACATACCTATCTAAGGCGTTTTCATCGCCTAGCACGCCTCGATCAAAAGTTATTCGCGAAAAACTGTTAGATACCTACCTACCATTCTTCCTTGACCAGAGGATCTCGGGGACATAATGAGGGGTCACGGGTGCCATTTCCCAGTTCAGTGCGTCATATTTACTTGTAAATCAGTGTTTGAGAGTGTTAAGAATGACGTTCGTCCAAAACAGGCGCCTTTCAATTTTTTCCCATTGACTTATAACGGAAAAATCACAAATCGAAATGACCGTAGCCGATCTCAGCATTCCAAGATAAGAACTTTGTACATATTGTCGCACTTATCGATCGCTGAACGTTTCAAAGCAATCGGTCACTGAGTGTAGCTTTGGCAGACATTGAAACTTTTTTATGAGGTGAGGTCACTTGATGAGACCTGGCGACCTGACCTTGAGTGGCCTTGGTCTGAAATTCTGACATGAGCAGAAAAGATACATGATAAGGTGACCCCATCGTTTTCTAGATATTCACGAAAAACCGCAGATGGTGTTTAACCCCCCTCCCCCCCCCCCCTGCAGCAGCGAGTTTAGCACTCGCCCGTATTGAAGTTTTGCCAGAAGCCAACTTACGGGGGTCCGTTGAACCTCCCCCTCCAAGCCGTTCGGCAGTCCGCAGTCGGCACCTGATGGAGGCACCTGATCGGCACTAACTTCACGAAAAAACGAGCAGGTTACCCGTGACGAGAGGAAGGTGAAGGTTCTAGGTCATTTACTGGATTTCTAGGACAGGTTAATGACCCAAAAGTCAAGAAATCGGGACCTGGGCTGCTAGAACTTCAAGTGATTTTGTTATCGGGCTTTCGTGGTGCTGATTTCGAATTTCGTATTAGTTCTGATCAAAGATGATGTATTCATGCATTTGGGGCAGGTCAGGTCAGGTCAGGTCAGGTCAGGCCAACCAGTAGGCGCCTCTCACGCTATCCATAGTAGGTCTGGTATACAGCACCACCGACAGCTCCGCAACATATTGCATAGGCAGCAGGCACCAAAGCTACTTCTTAACACTCGCACCGACGGGGGTCTGCGCCAACTTCGTACCGACGGGGGGGGGGGCGGATGACCGCCCCCCCCCCCCCCCTGAGATCTCGAGAACGAAGCAAGATAGCGACAAGCGGTAAACGGCATCGGATACGCACGGACAAGGTCTACAATTTTTACTAAGGTCATTTTCAGATCAGGTCAAAGATGACGTCACAGGGGTCCAAAAAGTCAAAATGGCGGCGCTAGATATGGAGAGTTTTTCTCGAATAACTTTCGAATTAGTCAAGATAGGAACAAACTAAGGGCATCATCGTGATCCTCTCGTCAATCCGCATCGAATGATATATATGTTGACCTCGAAACGTCAAGGTCAAAGGTTGATCTCAGGTCACGTGACCTCGAGGTCATCATGTATATCATTCGATGCGTCTTGACGAGCTGAACACAATGAGACCATCCGCGCGGCTGTATCTAGTTTCTGTACGGAGTTATTGGCAAAAAAACCTTTGGTGACCTTTGATGACGTCACATGACCTTACAGCTACCCAACAGCAAAACTGACCTCAAGGTAGTGAAGTTTGATCGTATATGAAGTCATGTATGGTATATGGGGCCATTCCGACCCGTTTTAGTGATAAAAACAGGGAGTTGATTTTTCCCCCATTGACTTAGGTATATTGGGGAGGTCGAGAAATTGACCTGACCTTAGGTCACCGATATCAAAATTCCGAGATATAAAAATTGTAGCTACTAATGACCTAATAACATCCTGCGACTTTCAAAGGCCTCCGACATCTACTGTAGCTCTGGCACGGTGACAAAGTTGCAAAAAAGTGACTTGAGGTTGGGTCATTCAAAGTGACCTGGTGACCTGACCTTAAAAGTTAGGAGGTTCAAACTTGCACACCATTTGTAAAATCGATGAGAGAATAGTCGTACCAAATTTCCGCGGTTTTCCCGCTATTCGCGAAAAACCTCAGGGGGGGGGGGGGGCGCCCCCCGTCGGTGCGCGTGTTAAATGTTCAAAAGAGTAATCAATTCGAAATCAGCTCCAAAATCTACCCGAACAGTCGTTAACTTGGAAAAAGTCACCCGAGATCACCAAAGGTCAATGACCATGACACCTATCACCTATCATGACACCTATCATACATGCGACAAGCAGCTCTGCGGCATTTCACATGCGAACAATTGTCTATTTAACACAAAAAGTGTGGAAACGCACGAATAATGTGCAACGACATTCGCCGAATCGCAATACCGCAGTGTGGCCAAATTGGTGATGTTGCGGGGAAAGTCACCCCCAATGAAAGGATAATGACATCCTCAGAAATTTTAAAATTACATCATCACGACGTTTTTGTCGTAAAAGCATACCTACCTAGTGTAGGAATAAAGACTGAAAATGTTCCAATGTACGATTCGCACCGTCATACTCGTACTGTCGCGCTTGCAATGTCGTTTTTTTACATCTTTAATGACAATATTTTTTTTTTTTACTTTCCACCAGAACTTGACGTCAGGTATCGTCTTTTTCCCACATTATCTGTAAAAACTGCACCTAAAATGAGGCTGAAGACGAGTTTTTTGAAAATAGTGACATTCTCGTACGACTTTTTTATACATCCTCCCCCTAACGCTAAACCAATTTGGTCACACTGCAATACCGGCCTGGTACCGTCTTGATAAGCAGGTCAAAGGTGATCTGGCCCAGGGTCATGAAATTTTCAGGGTATGTGTAAAGCTGCCTGAGTAACCCAACGATACTAAAAGTTTCGTTACAATGCACAGTGGGGATTTTTCCGATCTAGCACGTCTTTATTCGTAGAGGGCAAACCATGGGTAGTATTGTAGCCAGATTGTGCACAGATGTTGGCTGGTGTGTTCTGATGAGAATGTTACCTGTAAATGTGCATAATCAACATAGTATAGGGGGTTCAATTGGACCCCCGGCTCAGCCGTTTGGCCACTGATCAAGCTAGAGCTTCGCGGAAAAATCAAGCGTGCTGCCTATGACGAGATGAGGCCGAATATATCCAATTCCAAAGTCCAAGGTCATTAGTTGACTTTTTAAGTCAGTTTAATGACCCAACTAAAGTTGGGAAATCAAGACCTCTTGAAACTTCGTAAAGTTAGGGTGTTACGGGGTATTTTGGGGTGCTGATCACGAATTTCATGTTAGTTTTGATCACAGACGATGCCTTTATGCATTTAGGCCAGGTCGGGTCAGGTCAGGTCAGATCAACCAGTAGGCGTCCTGCCGGCCATCCATAGTAGGTGTCACCTACTACTGACAGCTTCGTAACATGGTACGAAGGCACCATAACTACTTCATAAATATTCAAATGGTTGCTAAATTCGAAATCAGCACCAAAAACTACCCTAGAAACAAGTAAAACTCGAAAAAGTGAACCAAGGTCATCAAAGGTCAATGACCTTGACTTGACCTTCACGTGACCTTGACACCCACCATAATGCATGGCACCAACATCATTTCACATATTTGAACGTTTGAAACCACAAAAAGACTGGAAACCGCGGATAATGTGAGCTGGCATACGCCGAATCGCGATTCCGGCCAAACATGGTCTCGAGAAATATGCCACAGGTCAAAGGTCAGTTGGGTCAGAGTCATGAAATTCTTAGGTTAGATGTAAAATTGATGATCTCGAGGGCACCGAAAGTTTCGCCGTGATCGGCCGCTTTTTGCGCGAGTAATTTGCGGAAAACCACATGGGGTTTTATCCGACCCCTTCCCCTCCCCCTCCCCACAAGTGCGAGGGTTAATAAGGTTACGGTATGTATAATTTACGCTTGTCATCCTATTCATGATGAATGTGTCTCAGAAAATATGCATCATATAAATCATGAAGTAAAAT